TGGTCTTGTACACCAGATGGGTGGGGTATAAATCAAATAAATAAATAAACTTGCTGCTGTGATTTATGCAATTACAGTACACTTAAGTTGACATAAATCCCCAAGAAGGGTCTGGCCACTGTCCTATAACCAGTCCTTTATCCCACATTTAGTTTTTGGAATATTGCTTAGTTGCGAAACTAGTGCCTCCAGAGTCTCCATTTCATGCAATACCTCAAGATTAATTTAAATTTATGTGTTTCAGTCAGGTCTGTAATACTGCATGCTACATAGCAACAAATGTGTCTTGCCTGCAGAATGAACACTTCATGAGAAGCAGGATGCAATTATGCACTTATGCAGAGGCACCATTTGTCTAGGTAAAATTACTGGGTGTTATACCGATTTTGGTACTTTTCCTGCCGTCCCAGCATCGTAAGGCTTGTCTTACCTGCTTTTCTCAGTAACTTTCTATGACTTTTTTTTTGTCCCTCTTGAGAGCGAGGCTTATTTTAAGCCTCTTGTTTGTTCTTTGGAGTTACGTTTAGTGCTATTGGGCTTCCCAGTTGAAGTTTATGTCTGTAGAAAGTTTTTTGGTTGGAAGGGTTCAAAACAAAAACAAAGCAATTGTGGTAGAAGAGCTCTATCAGGGACTTGTGTTTCTTTAAATTCTGAAGATCTGTCAAAGAGAAGCATCTGTCCTGAAGAGAAGAGAAGTGGGTTTATTCAGACATGAATTTGATTGTATTGGCACCCATTAGTAAAATAGGGGTAGGACAGATGCTCCATCTGCTATCCCAACCACCTAACTGGTATCCCTGAAAACCTGTGCTACTATATTTGGCCTTTTACACTTCATTTTTTAAACTGACATTTAACATCCTTAGATGTACAGTGCCTCTCAAAATCCATGCACGAGGAATTCTTTGTGTCTGATGGACCTACAGCAGTTACAACCCATATAAAGTGGAGCAGTCTCTGTTAGAGGACTTTGTGTGAACTGTCTGACTAAAGAAACACGGAATATCATGAGTGTATTGAGAACTCCAAGTCTACTTGTTAAGTTGAACAAACCATCCCAGACAACATGGTCTTGGTCTCCAATAGCAACCGGGACACTTGGGCTTCTCTTGTAGTGCTTGCAGCGAACATTCTGATTTCCTCACTTCTCTCGAAAGCAATTTTTGGAACCCACAGTTAGGCCCCAATTTCCCTTATTCGACAACTAAAAGTTTGTCTTTGTTTTTTTACAGTAAGCTAAAAAGTAGTGGGGGGAAAACATTTATGAAATTAAATGTTGGTGCTCATAAGGTTGTGAGACTCAATATATATTCAACCTTTGGTAGTGGATTAATTAAAATGCCATGTCCCGGGAAATTTTACCATTATATAAGTGAACCCAAGTAACACTAAAATGCAAAAATATGCAAATTAAATCTATGGACTTTTTTAGTGTAGAAAAAAGCCTTTCAAAGAGCCTGTATAATTAGGTTAGATCTGGCCGTGAAAGCCTTCGCGAATACATTGAGCCTGTGTAATGTTTTTCATTTTGGAGTTATTCAAGAGGTTTGTTGGAATGAATGGCTTTATAAAAATATAAATACTTGATTCTAGGGAACTCAGGTGTTGTGAAAATCCACAGTTACAGTAGGTGGTATTTTTGTGTCTTGCTCGCATTTTAAGGGGTTTCCAAACACTACCTAGTTGGAACGTTTTTCTCCCTGCCTTGTGTGCCTTGTTTCTTGGCTGGTCTTTAGTGGAAGAGTCAGGCTTTTCTGGGTGTGGTACTCACCTGTAGGAGTCTTGAGGGAGGAGATGACGTGAGTAGCCTCCACACCTTCATCGGCTGTTCAGGGTTCATAGGTTGTTCCCAGCTTCAGATCAACCCACTGCAACAACAGCCGAGGCGGGCAGTCAGGCAGACAAGTGAAGGATGTTGATCTGGGAGGAGAAGAAGAATGCACTGGAATGGCTTCCATTACAGATTATTAAACTCTTTGGTAAGGATGAGTTATGTTCTCCCCAAAGAAAACCTGAGGCAGTTTCCTTAATTGAGCTCTACAAGGGCACCGTGGTGTGGATTAAGAAGCAAGGAAAGTGTACTGAGGGCAGGCGGAAGGAAATTAGAGACCGATGAAAGTCTTGGCAGCTGAGTTGGCAGCTGATTGTGAAGGGCGCTTAGAAAGCGCAGACCTGTTGCCGCTTGCTTGTCTCCTTGCTGAGCTGCTTGAGGCCAGTGGCAGGCAGGGCAGGACATGCATCTGTGTCGAAGGGAGGGTATGTTTGGCTTGTGTGTGTCACAAAGAATGCGGAGCTCAGATGAAAGAACAAACATATTAGCAAAGCATCTACCTGAAAGACAAAAGCCTTACCATGGACCTCTTCCACAGATAACATGGTGTGGAAACCATGTCTAAAGACCATAGAGATGTTTATTTTATGAAGGCTTCTTTGACCATTGTTGTATATACAGTATAGCCTCTTACTCCTGAAGCAGCATCAGATAGTAATCCTTGATCCTGAAAAGGCTGTATACCCCTTCCCCAAACGCTCTCACTGGAAAATGTTTGGTTTATTTTTTAAAAAATCAACTTCTATTTAAAAGATAAATGTGATTTATCATGACTCAAATAGATAAAACCATGCATCTAGAAATTGCTCTGATGGATGTGTCTGTTTCTCTATTTTAATCCTTGTTCAAGAAGGTAGAGTATTTGTTTAATAGATTCTGGTTGGCACAAGTAGCAGTCTAGAGGGGGGGTAAATCCTTGTTCAAGAAGGTACAGTATTTGTTTAATAGATTCTGGTTGGCTCAAGTAACAGCTGTATCTATACACTCCCAACATTTTGCAGCATATATTGACCATTCCATGGTATTAGTGTGCTTCTTATAATAAATTATTCATCCTAATTAATTGCATTACTTTCATTATGTATTTAATTGGGACTCCCTATACTTGCCTCTTGTATAGAAGGAAGTAGTTTATTATTGTGTGTCATTATGTGTCATCATTGCTACCAAATTTCACAATGAAATAAGACCTCCAGAAGGTTCTGTCATTAACAGTTCTGCTTAGCTCTATCAAACTGAAAGCTTTGACTTCCTTTAGTGAGTCATTTTATCTTTGTTACATCTTCCACTTCTCCTACCTGAAACTTTTCCTAGTTTTGTTGTCTGTTCCAGTCTGTCTTGTCTTCTCATTATGCTTTCAAAATATAATAGCCTTACTTTAGCTTTCCGAGAGCTCAGACTCAAGTAGATGTAGAACCCACTTACTTGTTGGGTATGGGTCTCCATTTTGATTAATGGTTGAACAAAGATATAGAATATTTTTAATAATGTCAGTTTCTTCAGTGTGCATACTGAAGTTACATAATTCTTTAGTAGTAACTATTTTGTCTCTTCAGTTCTCACCTGTAGTCCTGCTTTTTCACTTTCTCCTTTAAGCTTTCTTCCATAGCATGTGAAGTTGTTGGTATTTTCTGCCAGTAATCTGATCTCTTCTGCAGATCTTAAATAGTGATGTTTTTTCACTCCTTCATTTGAATTTTATCCAGGTTTTCATTTGGTGTGTTTTGCATACAAATCAAACAGATGAGGCAAAGTAACAACCATATGTTTATTTACTAACTGGAAACTTTTGCCAGTTGGAAACCTATTTCTCCTTGTTCTTCCCAAACATAGCCTCTTGTTCAGAGTATAGATTATGTGTCAACTCAGCCAAATATTGACTTCAAAGGGAAATTTAATGTAATGCAGTATTTTAATCCAATTAACAAACAGATGGCAATTTTAAAAATCTAAATTCATTTTAAAAATTGTGTTTTTGTGTGCTGAGAAGATAAATCTGTGCAAGACGGGGCATACAAAAGAAAAGCCCTGTGTTACATTTGATCTTACGAACATAGGAAACTACGGTACCTGCACTAACCCAGCCTATTGGTCTATCTGTCGGCAACTCAGACAGACAGAAGATGATGGGATATAAGCCTCTATAGGCTTACCCACATGCTCTGTTGATTTTTTTTACTTATTTGCATCCTCAAATTTTCTGACTGGTAAAAAATGTTTGTTGCATTAAACTAGTTTACAAATACAAGACACAGAGAAGCCCTTAAAAACACCTTTTTCATTATCATTGTAGGCAAATATTATTACTAGCGGTAATTATTAGTGTAAATTTTAAATGTTCAATCTTTATCTTGTTATTCATCTGCACAGCAGTTGATGCCTGCAGGCTGGCCAATTTAAGTTCCATGTTATATGCAAGGAACTTTAACTGAGATGCAGTGGCTTTGTCAATGGTAGCCTAGCAGGGCTATTATTAAATTGAAATTAGAACACAGTTATCCATCAACTGAATTATTCAGTCATGCTAAATACGTTTTTCTCCTTGAGGCTCTGCCTGTCTTCAGGCATAAACGTTGAACAGAAACACATTTTTCTGTTTAAAGCCATAAGAGATGTCCTGTAGACTGCTAGAACTCAGATAAGTACTTAAACTGCTTCAAGGGAGGAATAGTCCCTAATGAAGATTCTGATGGTTAAAACAAAGTCTAACATCAAGCATTGGCTGGGATCATATGTATTACTGTACAGTACATATGTTTGCTGGCCTAAGTCCATTGGCATCAAACTGAGCAGGAATTTCCATTTGTAAAATATTTGGCATAGGCATTTGCCCTTGCACACCAGTTGTGTGACTCATCTCATGAGAGCAAATGCTTGCACTGACTACTTGTAGCAATTTGCTGTTGAAATTTACACTGATGGACTTTTGCAGTTGGATCCCAGCCATTGTGCATATGACTCAAGTTCACCTGTTTCTACCTAGTTATTAAAACCCATGCTTGCTTTTTTCTTGAGTATGATTTTAATTCATCCTTTTTCTACACAGTTTCATATTTGGTGTAAATCACCTTAATGTGAATTGCTATATAATATGTGTTTGTTGTAACTTGCACAATTCAGGTCTCCCCCTCCTCCCCCAAAGTAGCACTGCTTCTCTCTCTTTTCACAGAGATCTCCAGGCTGCAAGTTCCTGGCAGAGATGACAGGATTTCAGGCACTGTTTCCCCAGGCATGAGCTCCTCGGAAGGCCTTGAGAACCAGCCACCTAGAAGCCGAACCAATGCTATCCACATTATGGAGGACTGGAATGACGTGCCCCAAACACCTGCTGATACGACCCCCCTGAGGACAGGGCTGCTGCACAATGCCAACAACAATGCTTCCTCGGGGCCCTGGCGAAACCTGAAGAGCCCTACTCTTTCTTCTTCTGCCTCCCACTCCAAACTAAGTTACCTGGAACGGGTGGTATTGGAGATTGTGGAATCCGAGCGCATGTATGTCCGGGACTTACGAAGCATCGTAGAGGTAGGCCTGTCTGCCATACCTGCTTAACTCTTAGGATGGAATTCCTTAGTTCATTGCTATGGAGCATTGTCCTAAGTATTTCTCAGCACTTGAGTTTTCACGTTAAAATCTTCTTCCGTCCACCATAGGAGAAAGAGGCCTGGCCAGCCCTTAAGACAAGGAGAATCCTGCCAACTGACACCCCCCCCAAATGTTTTATTGGATACAGTTGTCATGCTTTTTTCCTCAGTAGTGAACTTCATATTCCTTTTAGTGAGGAATATAAGGACATTCCATCCACTTCAGAGGTGTAAATTATCTATATTTTTTCTGCTGTGTTGCACATTATACGGATACAACAGTGTAAATGTAAGGCTGTGGACTTTGACTTGTTTTCATGCTGTGGTTGAAATTTAGAGGTTGAAAAAGAAACTTCTTTTGTCTGCAACCTTAAGGACCTCCTACCAGTATGCATACAATTAACCATGCTGCTGGCTAGGGATTGTTTGGAGTTACAATCTGGACAACTGTTTTCTCCACACTTTGCTGAAATTATGCCTTGAGGTTTTTGTTGCTAGCTATTGCAGCCATAGTGTGTTAAAAGAGGCTTTCTGTCTTAAAGGATCTCGCTTTGGTGCAGCTGATTGTTGGAAGTCTCTTGGGGTCCCCTCTGAGTATTGACTGGGTTGCCATCCCCATATATTCAGACGGTTGGAGTTTATAGTGATATCCTATTTATTTTATTTTATTTTTGCTTGTACTTAATAGAAGCTTTGTGTCTTAATAGAATTACTTGGGGAAGATCATAGACACTCAGGAGCTGCTGCTGCGACCAGAACAAGTCAGTGCTCTCTTTGGCAACATTGAGGATATCTATGAACTGAACAGGTGAGCCATGGCATTGGCCAGCTGTGCCTGCAGTGGCATTCCTTTGTTTCTCTGTCTCTGTGTCTGTCTTGAAAATGGTGAACATTCCTCAGAGTCCCATCTTTAGTCCAGTCATGACAGTGGGCAGGTGGGAGGCTGGTATGAGACTTGTTTCTTTGCCCAGCCTTTTTATCTCTTCCTCCACTCTCTGTTCATAGATTTCTGCCTGCACATCGTCCTGTAACTAAGAGACAGCCATGTGCTTGTTCTTTTGTATTTTGAGGGTCGAATTAAAGGGTTGTTTCTAATCTACACAGAAGAGTGGATGGCTGGACAGCTCAATGGTTTAGGTATCTGGCTGTAGAGCCAAAGGTTGGGAGTTTATGCCCATCTCTATTGAATAACAATCTAAGTATAATTTGTTTACCATTTAATGAATTAAGAGTTTTATAAAACCAAATGATATCCAGTGTGGTGTACTGAATAGAGTGATGGACTGGGACTCGGGAGACCTCCGTTCAGATCCCCATTCTGGCCCATTCACTTAGGATGGTGGAACTAGTAAAAAAATCAATCCTTAAATATCTCACCTTGAAACTTGATTAGGGTTGCTGCAAGTTATTTCTAAATTGTCAGCACAGAAAACACAAATTTTCAAAAAATGAAGAAAAGAAAAAAAGAAAGATGTTTAGGAGCAACAACATCTTCTTGGCCAATGACTTGGTTTGAAATAGATGGTATTGACTCTGGAGCGAATGACTGGGAGAGGGAAGAGCAGGGGCAGGACTGAGTTCAAATGGCTCCTGGGTTTACTGGGTGTGTGTTCTTACGTTAGTTGTGTGTCTGTTCTGTAGTCCTGTTTCCTCTCCTGAGCATTGCCTTTTAAAATTAAAAGCTCTTCAGAGTAAAAATGGCCAGTGAGACATTCAGTGTCCACCCAGCTAAGGTGGCCAGCCTGAAGTTGTTGTCGGAAGAGAGGGCAGGAGGAGCGATTGGTCATTTTATCCAGAAAATGACTCTGTTTCTTTGTAACATCTGCTGCCTTGTGTTTCTTTTTTCTTTTTTACTCCTCTGGCAACGGTGGAAGGGCTCTCACTGTCCAGGTGGGTTCTACACCCAAATCTTTTGCATGAGCCGCTACCCTGCATTTTGCTTCCAAATTGGCAAGTTGAAGGGAAGGAACCGATGTTTTTGTGGTTTTTCTTGAAGCATGCACCCTTCCTTTGTTAGTTCTTTCAGTGCATGTGCTGTTAAGCTGCTGTGCCTTGATTCATTAAATGCAGGCTATAACATGCGTGGATGTTTGGGGGAAGACATGTGATCCCTTTTCTCTCATTTTCTGCCCAGTGAGCTTCTGCAGGATCTGGACAGCTGTCACAATGACCCTGTTGCCGTGGCAAGATGTTTCGTGGACAGGGTAAGGAGTTGTTGTGTATAGTGGTTGTGATTAAATTTGGAAGTGGAGCTGGCAATGCCTTGTCTTTACAGTCCTTATTGCAGTGCTTTCATAGAGCCGGATGGGCAACATATGGCCTGCAGGAGCCCCAATGCACTCCCTCAATGCCCTCGAAAACACTAACCATAGATAACTCTCTATCTACGTCAGTTGACGTGCTAGCTGATTTTTTTTTCAGAAAACTCAAAATCTGTTCAACCTTTTTAACAGATTCCCTTCCACCTTGTCCTTCTCCCTCTCAATCCGCAGGAGACCAGTTTGAGCTCTCCTGGGTATCAGAGGAGGAAATTTCTGCAATTCTGTCTGCTTCTCCATTAACCACTGCACCTAGTGATACCTTCCCCTCTTTTCTGTATTCCGTTATAGGTCCTTCCCTTCTGCCACTTTTGACTAGTTCAGTGAATTTTTCATTTTCTACTGGCAAATTTCCAAGTTCTCTTAAGCATGCCTTTGTTCAACAGCCCCTGTTGAAGAAACCTTCCCTTGATCCTTCTGTTTGTGCCAACTATCGACCTGTTTCGCTCCTTCCTTCCCTATCTAAGCTTACAGAGAGGGCAGCTCTTTCTCAATTGACTCCTTATTTAGCCTGTCATAATGCCATTGATCCATTTCAATCTGGATTTCGGGCTGGACATTCAACTGAGGCTGTACTCTCTCGAATCTTGAATGATATCTTGTTGGCCAAGGCTCAATATCATTCGTCAGTGTTGGTGCTGCTTGATTTGTCAGCAGCTTTGACACCCTTGACCATCAAATACTTTTGACAAGGTTGGCTTCTTTGGGAATCTCTCGCAGTACTGTACTAGCTCGTTTCTCTTCTTACTTGTCAAATTGTTCATTTACAGTATCGTTGGGTACTAAAACCTGTCAACCTTTTCCTCTCACTGTTGGTGTCTCACAAGGTTCAGTGTTGGGCCCATTTCTTTTTTCTTTATATACGCTTTCCCTGGGCACCATAATTTCTGAACAGGGGTTTCACTATCATATCTATATGGATGATATACAAATATATCAGCCTTACTTGGAGCTTAATTATAAGATCTGGACTTCTTTGACAGGTTGTTTGTCAAATGTTTCATTGTGGATGTCCTCTAACCACTTTAAATTGAACATGGGCAATACTGAAGTTCTGGCCTTTTTACCCAGATCATCCTGCTTGCCCTTTGACTGTTTCCTCTACTTCTCTCCAGGGCTGCTTGGTGACCCCCATCTCAGAGACTAGGGATCTTGATGTTCTAGTGGACGATCGGCTGTCGCTTTGTTCATTTGTAAATGAGACAGCCAAGACATGTAATCTCCATTTGGCTAATATTCCTGACGTCTGAAACTACAAAACTTCTTGTTCATGCCCTGGTGGTTTCACATCTGGATTATTGTAATAGCTTGTTAGCTGGTCTTTCTTCTTCTGCACTTCATCCTCTCACCTTGGTACCGAATAGTATGAGTAGCTTTAAACCTATCGCACTACTCTCACATTTCCCAGCAGTAAAGGGCACTGCACTGGTTACCCATCAGATCAATAATACAGTGGTGCCTCGCTTAACAGGCGCTCTGTTTTACGATGAAATCGCATAACAACTAAGATGTTTCCTATGGGGAAATTTCGCTTTGCGATGATCGGTTCCCTGCTTTGGGAACCGATTCTCGCAAAATGACGATTTTCCTACAGTTGATCGGTGGTTTCAAAATGGCCGCCGGGTAAAAAAAAAGGCCGCCCGCTGTTTTCTGGGACGGATTCCTCACTGCACGGGCAGCGAAAATAGCCGTGCTGTGGAGGATCTTCGCTGGACAGCGAGTTTCAAGTCCATAGGAACGCATTAATCGGGTTTTAATGCGTTTTTATGGGCTTTTTAATTTCGCTTTGCAATGTTTTCGTTCTACAGCGATTTCGCTGGAATTAATTAACATTGTAATGCGAGGCACCACTGTATAAGGTTCTTGTTCTGACATTTAAAGCATTTCATTTCTCTTGCCCTAGATATTTAGCGGAACTGGTGGGGTGGCATATTCCTTGTAGGAGGACTTGATCTGCGGATTCTGGGCTCTTATTAGTCCCTTGGACTAAGATGGCTAATTCCAGACTTGGAGCATTTTCTTATCTGGCCCCAAAATTATGGAATTATCTTCCGCAATACCTTCACATGGAACCAGAGTTGGACACATTCAAACAAGACTTAAAAACCTACTTGTTCAACCTAGAACCATAGGGGTTGACCATGGAAATAGGCAATTATTGGGTTAGAATTACTGTACTTTAATTATTATATTGTTATTCTAGTTATTTTGATTGTTTGCTTATTGCCTTATTGAATGATTGTTTGCTTATTGCCTTATTGAATGATAATTGCTTACTGTCTGTTTTTATCATTGTAATTTTTTTCCTTGTGCTTGATATAGTCCTGTTGTACCCTCTAGAGGTCATGCAGAGCAGTTTTGCCATGTATTGAAGCCCTACCCTCCACTCATGGGCAGCATTCCTGCAGGGGGGGGGAACCCTAGAGTGGTTGAAATGTCTAGATAGGCGGGGTATAAATACAATAAAAAAAATAAAAAAAAATAAAATAAATAAACCCACAAACATTTTAAACATATATTTATTTTGTTTTTGCTACCACAAGGCACAGGGGGTGCTTTAGTGCTTTACTGTGAAACAACTCACAAGGAATGTAAAGAAATAGTACATTTTTAAAAAGGGGTAGTGCAGTTTACAGGAGTGGATGAGGTTTCCATGGGCAAGCACATGTGGGCACATCTGGACCTGGTATTCTGGCAGATGGCCATCCTATATTAAAGGTGCAGGAGCTTAGCCCGGAGAAGCTGGGTTTGCTTTTTGAAGGCTGTGCTGGGCATATCTGAGAGATAAGTGCCGGGCAGTTGACATTAGTGCTGCTGGCTGTGGAGTGGATGAAAACACAAGCATCTCTTACTGATTGGCTATCTTTTCTCTCTTCCCCAACAGAGCCAAGACTTTGATATCTATACTCAGTACTGCAATAACTACCCGAAGTAAGTACATTTACAATGCAGAAGACAAGTATGGTTTTATGAGGACTTGGGCGGCATATTCCCCTCCCTCTCTCTTCTCTCTCTTCCCCAACAGAGCCAGGACTTTGATATCTATACTCAGTACTGCAATAACTACCCGAAGTAAGTACATTTACAATGCAGAAGACAAGTATGGTTTTATGAGGACTTGGGCGGCATATTCCCCTCCAGTACCAACTCACGTCTTTTTTACCCATTAGAAGCTTCATGGTAGCTTTTGTCTCTGCTGATTGAAGAGTACTGTGCACATTTTAAACAGCAAATTCAAGGAAATCTGCTTATTTTTCATATTTCTTTCCCAGCTAGTCATAACAAGAGGCAAACAAACTGGTAGAATAATGAAATCGAGCTTCTATTCTCCCAAATCCTCATTTTTCCCCTCTTCATCCCTGTCATCCTCCAGCTTCTCATTTTTCCAAAAATGTTGGCCATGTACTTTTAGAACAGTATAATCTCAGGGGCTAGAAACTTATTGTAAAAAAGAAGCAACTTGTATTCTCATTTAAGTGCCTCAGATTCCTGCTGAAATGCTTTTTGTTGGCGTTAGTGGAATGAATGCATTCATTAATGGAGGAGGTCTTCACTTATCTTTTCTGGTGGATCTAGCTGATCTTTGCACTGAAAAAAGGAAAGAAATTCCCAGATGCAGAAGTAGATTTGACTCAACCATAAATATGCTAGTTAGTGTGGGAATGGGTGACTGCTTCTCAGCTTTGGTTTCTCATTTGTAAAAATTGAAATGCTGTTGGTTGGTTTGGATGAATGAGGCAAACGTATGACATACTAGAAGTGTGCTGGAATGTGGGGGAATTCTGCAAGGGGTTTTGTAGATCAGAGATGGTTCTCAAGACCACTTTCCTATAATGTGCCACCCTCCCAATTTTGTTGGATTGTGGCTCCCAGCATTCTCTACAATTGGCTGGGCTCCAGTCCAAGATCTGGAGAGTCATCTAAGGAAATCTGCTTATTTTTCATATTTCTTTCCCAGCTAGTCATAACAAGAGGCAAACAAACTGGTAGAATAATGAAATCAAGCTTATATTCTCCCAAATCCTCATTTTTTCCCTCTAGGCTCCAGTCCAAGATCTGGAGAGTCATCTTTTGTCTATCTCTGTTATAGAGCTTTGCAGGGACAGTTGCTCTCAAAAGGAAGTACCCTTCCCTGGAACAGGGAATAATCTGGGTTCCCCACACTGGTTGGTGGAAAGGTTTTATAAGAGGAATAAAATGTGTTATGTTGCCAAGAAGTGACTGCTTATCTTTGTTACCCTGTTTGGCTGTTTCTAGCTTCCAGGTGTTTGTTTAAGGCTTTGCATTGCCATCCCTTATGCAAACCTGCCTGCCTGTCAACTTATCCTTGGAAGTAATGTAGAAAGTGGTCTGCTTTGATCTTTGACTCTGTTTATTTCGCCCTGGTTTCTCCCTTCAGCTCTGTGGCAGCTCTCACTGAATGCATGAGGCACAAACAGCTGGCCAAATTCTTTCGTGAGCGGCAAGAGCAAATCCGTCATTCATTGCCCCTTGGCTCCTACCTTCTCAAGCCGGTCCAACGCATTCTCAAATATCACCTGCTCCTTCAGGTAATACATATGATCATAGCAGATTACTGGCGTGGTCTAATTTTGTAGTGTTGAGATCAAAGGGAATGGTTTTATCTTTAGGACTGAATTGTAGAATAATTTGCTGACAGCATACGCATATTGTCCCATAACGTAACAGCTCTCTGGTTGACTGACAATAAAGAAATATGAGAAAAATTTAGATAAAACATAAACCCAATATAAAGGTGAGACAAAGTCTCAAGATATAATGAAACAAAGTTATTCACTGAAGAACTCTGGTGCATACCAGCCAACTAATTATTTGGTGGACTTTTCCAGTTCTATGACCAGTAGATTGCAGAACAGTATTAAGAAGTATTGGATATTGCAAGAAGTATGGTTATATAAAACTTTAGATTTTTTTAAAAAAAGATATATAATATCGGGGTCATGTTTGTTAAGAATGAGTTTGGAAAAGGAAAAACAGAACATCCCAACATACTACTGGGGAGCATCGGTTTCAAAGGGTGTAGACTTTGTAGTCACTACGGCTTGAAAACAGGATGAGCACCACCCCCTAGAGTCGGATACGACTGGACTAAAAATTTGTATTTGCTGTACTTTTTAATACCTAATGAAGGCAACTACAAAATAATTAACTAGTCAAAACGTGTTGACTGCACAATAGATGAAAAACATTTTTCTACATCTTGAGACCTTATTCTCCCTTAGATTGGGCTTCTTCACATGTGTCAAGTTTCTTTTTGCTTTTATAGATTTAATTTTTTATAACTGTAAAACCAAAAGCCAATTAAAATACAATAAGCCAAATGTACATCAGTCCCAATGTTTAAAACAAATACATACTGTATTTAAAAGTAAGAGAAAGATCTGTATCTGCTTCCAAATAGATGACATGGATGTCACCAGAGGAAGCTCCTGTTTTGGCAGTCATGGTGACCATCTTTGCCTACATGTGTGGCTCCAGAGTAAATACGCGTTGTGGGGTTTGTTCAGGAGTCTGGTTTCTGAGAATTCTGTTTATTTCAGAACTGGTTTTTAATATGATCTTTCTGCCAGGAATGAAACGTGCTAGTTGGGATGTTACGTGAGCCATATATGCCTGCATATTTGCCAGAATAGTAGGTTGTATCCAGAGGTGTCTTTCTGTTCACAGAAAGCTCTTTTATTCAGTGGCTTCAGTTCTTTTATTACTTTTATTCAGTGGCTCCCATGTATAAAAGAAGGAATTAGTCAATCTTCATAAATTTTCATTTTGTTTCATAACTCATCATGTTACTTAGGTTGTTCCAGAGGGGTCCCACCCCACCCCCTGGAATGAATTTGAGGGCAGCAAGGGGCTGCAGAGAGAAAAGGTAAATCCGCAAAAGCTCACTACCTGGCCCACTTGAGCTTTCCGTGAACAGAAGAGCGCCACTAGATGCAAGCTGGTTCTTTTGTCCTGAGAATATGTACTAGGAATATTAAGACAGGCGGCTGATTCTAGTAGGATTTATGGTTTCACTTTGTAGATTTAATCTGCTTCAGTTGTATTTTCTCTGTATTTTAGTCTGATGTGTCAGGGTCAGCAAGAGCAGTTGTACAAAAGTGATATCTATAAGATAAACTTAAATGATTTCACTCAGTTTCATTATTATGATTCCCTCAACGAATCTAGGGAACTGTCATTATGTGGCAGATAACGAACGTTTCCTACGAAAGATCCCAACTCCTACACAGCAGTGTCAGAAGAAATGCAGCTCTCTGGAGTGGAGTGGGTCAAGGGATGACAATTAAAAATAAAATAGTTGCCATCTCAATATGCTCCTTAGTTCCTGAATTTATTTATTTTTTTCTTTATTATTTTGTTCATTGGGGAACTTGTGAGGGACAAGATCATTGTTTCGCAAAATATGCAGTTTCTTGTAAAATTTAACAAGGTAGACAATATAATCAGAAATGTGTAATCCCTTCCGTGCGATCTTATCTGCATTTTCTCATCTCTGTGCTGCTGTTGTCCAAGCTGCTTGACAAAAAAGTATTGTAGAGGTTGAGAAATTTCTGCTACCTTTTTTGTTATTAATTGCAGATTGGTGTGTTTTGGGTTAAGCTTTGTACCATTCTTCAGGAGTGTTGCTTCCTTCATGTAAACAGACAACAGCATCTGAGGTGTTAAATAATCTGACATTCTAAGTTTGCATCAACAGCTTTAAGGGTGTTAAATAAGCTAAAATACAAACTGTCTATGGATAGGCTTTGTGTTGAAACCATGCCCACATAAATTGGTAAGACTGTGAACTTATGACTAGATACAAATGTATTCAAATTTTCAAGTAACATAATAACACTTTGCTGTTCAAATTGTTATTTTTGGGTCCTCTTGTTTGTACAGAAGGACAAGAAAATCAATCCTTGTAATCTTGTAAAAATAATATTTTGAAAGCACTGTTAATGCTACCACATAAATATGAATGCATTGTTTCCAGATTGTGAATGCAACAAATACCCAGTAATAACAAAATTACATTTGTGCTCCAGTGTGGATCAGTTCTGGAACTCAGATCATTTGGTCAGATCCTTGTGCGTGCAGTGTTTATGTACCTGGATACATGTGAAATCTGGGGCAAAGGATGAGCATCAGAGAATCTTACACTGTCTGCCTTACAATTGCTCCCTCTTCCTCCAGGAGATAGCAAAGCACTTTGATATAGAAGAGGATGGCTATGAAGTTGTGGAGGAAGCGATTGACACCATGACCTGTGTGGCGTGGTACATCAATGACATGAAACGGAAGCATGAGCATGCTGTGCGGCTGCAGGTAATCTTGAGCCTGGTCTGTGATGCCAGCTTGGAGGATGGGTAGCTTTAATTTATGCCCAGTGGAGTATTATTTTTTGAAGCTACCTCTTCACCTAGAAAGTGGTGGAATATTTATTTTTTTTATTTTTTTTATATCCCGCCTATCTGGTCAGTTAAGACCACTCTAGGCAGAAGCGATTGACACCATGACCTGTGTGGCGTGGTACATCAATGACATGAAACGGAAGCATGAGCATGCTGTGCGGCTGCAGGTAATCTTGAGCCTGGTCTGTGATGCCAGCTTGGAGGATGGGTAGCTTTAATTTATGCCCAGTGGAGCATTATTTTTTGAAGCTACCTCTTCACCACCTAGAAAGTGGTGGAATGTGCTATCATAAGTGGAGTGTGCGGAATGAAGTTGGCTTGGGAAACACCATAGCAACCCTGTCATTGCTGTCTTTGTGACTTGCTGTCCTTCTGCTGTATTTTTCCCTCTGGAAAGTGTTGCAGAGTAAATGGGAGACAATTCTGGTTTTGTAACACCTAAATACAGTAGTAGTTTTTCCTGATTTTATGCAACACTCCCTTCTCAGGGCAGCCAATGCAGAGCAGCCAGAGTGGGTGAAATATGTTGGTGAGATACGCTATCATAAGTGGAATGTGCAGAATGAAGTTGGCTTGGGAAACACCATAGCAACCCTGTCATTGCTGTCTTTGTGACTTGCTGTCCTTCTGCTGTATTTTTCCCTCTGGAAAGTGTTGCAGAGTAAATGGGAGACAATTCTGGTTTTGTAACACCTAAATACAGTAGTAGTTTTTCCTGATTTTATGCAACACTCCCTTCTCATTCCAATTTCTAAGATTTAACTTTTTGTTTCAGACTACGATACTTCCATACATGGTGTCTTGTTGCATGCAATGATTCATATTCTTCCCATTATTGAGGTCACTTCACAACAGTATACTTTCCAACTCTTGCTCCAGACATTTAACCCCTGGGCCCTTCTCAGAAAATACATATATTCCACTGCATTTCTTCATGCACGCTCCCAAATGCCTGGAGCTTAATATCAAGGAGATATGTAAAGAGTCAGACTTGACTGGCTGGTTGTCTCACTGTCTCACCTGGATACGCTTTTGCTCCTAATTCCATTTATGTAGGACAGTAGTCCTTGATTTTTTTTTTCAAATCCAGACACACATTTTAGATACAAACTATAACAGAGAACTCATTTTTAATTTTTTAATCCTACGTCCTTGTTTTTCTCCTTTTTCCTCCAAGGTGACCCGATGTAAGAGAGTCTAGGGCTCCTGTATCTTTTAGTAGTTGCACTGCAGACAGAATTTCTTTCCACAAATTTAGAGAATATAATTTGTGAAAGGAAAATGCACAGTTTATGCATTTGGGGGAACAGATCCCTTGAGAATTCATGCAAGTAGTTGTGTTCTCCATGCTAAACAAACAGTATCCTAAGTTCTAAAAAAGACAGTCTTCAACTTTTTGCCTCTTGCCGAAATTTTATGAAATAGCGAATATTATAATTGGTGCATGTACCTTCATTTTCTCTTGAGCTGCCTTGAAGCGGCTCCTTACAAGTATGGGAATGTTTCACCTTTCCTCTGATTTTTTCTTTTCTTTTCCTGATTTCAGGAGATTCAGTCATTGCTTATTAACTGGAAAGGCCCAGACTTAACTACATATGGAGAGCTAGTCCTGGAGGGCACCTTCCGCGTCCATCGGGTCAAGAATGAGCGAACTTTTTTCTTGTTTGACAAGATTTTACTCATAACAAAGAAGCGGGGTGATCATTATGTGTACAAAAGCCATATACCAGTAAGTGGGCCCAACCTCGTGATTTTGGTGGAAAAGAAATGAGTATTTCTGCACCATTGGTTTGTCCTTCCTTCCTTCCTCCCTCCCTCTCGATCTATCTATCTATGGTAGGAGTAGCAGAGTCTCACTCTAGACTGGAGGAGATGAAAAATTATTCTTTGTTATTTAGGGTCTCGTACATAACAGCTGAAACTGATGTGAATCTGTAACTCACTACAAACAGTTCTGAAGGTAGCTAACTAAAGCAGCACAAAAGTGGTGTGAGCACTCCATTTCTCTACACCAGGCAAGGTGTTACAATAATAATGGGGAATTAGAAAATTTTTAAAAAGCTGGCCTGAATGTGTGTGTGTGTGGGGGGGCTATCTTATCTTTTGCTTCAAGGAGTTAAGTGCAGGCTCACCAAAGAGGAAAAAGTTGAATTCTTGGTTTATAGCTTGCTGTAACTTACAACTCAGGTGTCTTCACACAGTACTTTGGTCATAAAAATTTAAAATGATAACGTTTTGGCATCACTTCAAGATGATGCTCAGTGCAGTAGTGACCACTGAAAGTGAACTCTGTCCTTGGGGTGTGTGTGTGTGTGGGGGTGCGAGTTGTTGTTGCTGATGTTAAATACACTGCATTGACGTCTCTGGCATCTGATCCTACAGTGCTCCTCCCTGATGCTGATTGAGAGCACCAGAGACTCACTTTGCTTCACTGTCACCCACTACAAGCACAACAAGCAACAATACAACATCCAGGTGAGGAGATGGGCAGGGACAGTCAGAGATGTAGAGAGGAGAAGGATAGTATGGCAAAGTGGAAGTAGGGCCAGCCTGTGTGTGACGCGATAGAGGAAGAAGACAAGTGCTGAGTGGGAATGAGGAAGACTGGAGTATGTACATGCTGGTATGATTTAATGTGGAAAGTACAAAGTTAATGTTATATTGGAGGTAAAGGGAGATGGGGAAGCAAGTTTTTTGGTGGGTTGCTCTGCCAAGTCTTGACTCATGAGAAAGATGTTCAGGTGAGGAGCTGTGGAGCATGTTTGTGTGCTCACCTTAGTGGTAATAATGAAAGCAGGGCATGTAGGACTCGGGGCTTGGTGTGTGGGGTGAGTACTGCTGTCCTCCACACTCATGGACTGTACATTTTGCTGCCAGGCCAAATCAGGGGAGGAGAAGCGTGTGTGGACTCACCACATCAAGCGTTTGATCCTGGAAAATCACCATGCCATCATCCCTCAGAAAGTGAGTGGGAGTTCTTTTTTCTTGTCCTTTGTGTAGCTACTGAATAGAAGGCAGGAACTCCGTGGTGTTTTCTGCCCCTTCTCTGTTAAGAGTGGCAAGTTGTGGTCCTCTAGGTGTGGTAGGACTGTGCCTTCCATCAGCTGTAACCAAGGCCAACGGTGAGGACCCGAGGGCCTTACAAACCCTTTCTAGCTCCATGATTCTATGATAGGGAGTAGCAGTCCTTCAACATTTAGTGGATCATATGTCTCCCACCTCCCTCTGCCCTAAAGCTGCAGTATATTTATTCATCTAGATATTTTTACCACCCTTTATTGTCCCCTCCTGGTTTTTTTGTATTAACACATCTGTACTTTTAAGACTGATTGCTCTGTTTACTAAATCTTCTAATAACCATGTGGAACAGCCGAAGAATATTTATTCTTGGTCTACAGAAAATCAGGCTGAGGGGGTCATCTCCCTTGCTCTTCCCCATGTCTTATTTAGTAAAGGGAGTAGGAAGGGATTTTTCTTTTTGGCTCTACCCTGGTGATCATGGATTTCCTTTTTCCCCTCTGTTGCTTGCTAAACCAATATTTTCTTTCCTTCAGGCCAAAGAAGCCATATTGGAAATGGACTCCTACTGTAAGTTTCCCCCCTTCTTTCAAGAGTCTTACCTGTTATGTCATTGGCAGAGCAAACTCATTAATATGTAAAAAATGTCCCTGCTCAAGGCTGAGAATGTATTCTGCCCCATAGGGACTAGATTCTTTTATCTGACTTGGAGAGTGTACACAGCAGTGAAAGCAACAATAAACAGAATGAGATTCTGAGAAATGCAGCATCCTCATGTCAGCCTCTGAAGAGGGAACTCTGTTGTTAGACAGAGTGTTATAAGCCATTTCGGCCGGCAGATCTGGGGTGCTGTGAAAGGGCAGCTGTTGGTCAGATGTTGTGTATATGCTTGTGAGATTTTCTGCCTCACATGCCAAATTAGAGACCAGTCTAGGGTACTCTGTACTTTCACTTTGGGAGTCAGAGCACCACTTGCTCTCATGCCTGACACTAGCTCTGGTCTCTGTTTCCCATAATTTAATGTAGTTAGCCTTCTCTTGGGTTCACAGCAGAATCTGCCTTTGCGTACTGCTGCATGTAATATATTCATGAGTGGCAACAGTGAGTAAAGTGAAGTTAGCTTGGCTCAGGCATTCTCTGGCCATTGGGCAGGCTTCCACATATTGCTGCCTCCTTCTTTCAGATCCTCCTCGCTACAAATATAGCCCAGAGCGACGGAAGAAGTCCTGGTTAGGCCAGCCTACAGAAGACATTCCTCAACATGGCCGCCAGGGGCGCCGGCAATCAGGTAAAAGGGGGTTTGGCGTAAGGGTGGGCTTATCTAAGCAAAGAAAAGGGCAGCAAGCTGCTCTTATCCTTTAGTGATACAGTGGTGCCTCGCTAGACGATGATAATCCGTTCCACTGAAATCATTGGTTAGCGAAATCATTGTCTAGCAAAAGCATTTCCCCATTGGAATGCATTGTAACCTGTTTAATGCGTTCCAATGGGGAAGAATCGTCATTGTCTAGCGAAGATCGGCCATAGGAAAGCCGCTTTGCGAACTGCCAATCAGCTGTTCAAATTCGCTAGTCAATGTCTAGCGAAAAAACTGTCATGCGGGGTAACTGTCTAGCGAGGCACCACTGTACCTTGGATGGACTGTTGCGGATCACTACAGACTGACTAGTGCCTTCTTAAAGGGTAATGATGCCCAAGTATCTCCTGGAGGCTTTAAGTTAGAATCTTTGTATTTTTACTATTAACTTATCAGTCTCCCCATCTTAGTTACTGACAAAGTTGTTGTGAAGCATTTCTTTAGCCCTGTAACTCTGTGTAGCTGGCAGGCATTCAAACGTTTTCTCTGCCAAGACCTGATGATCTGTTGCACACACCACACACATACAGAGCACACTAAGAGTGTGTGCTTGTTTATTCTGCACTGTTCTGTCTGAATTTCTCCCTCATTGATACTGTGAATGTCTCACCTCATCTTCAGAGGCAGATAATTCAGCAGCGGAGAATAGGACACCACCTACATTATTTGGATCAAACTAAAATTTGAGACCCAAAGAAAGGAAAAATGCGGAAAAACAAAGCCTTGAAGCTATGTGTAATGTGACCTAGGACTGTAATATCACAAAAGAGACCAAGCATGGCCAGTAAATCCTTGTGGGTTGTCAGCTGTGCAGTTTAACTTGTTATCTTGCTAGATCTAAAAGACTGTCCTGCTCCAGGGTAGGGCTGTGCATGACAAGAGGTCATTGCTCATTTTAGCATGTAAAGGGCGTGTTATGGAATTAGCGTCATCTGTAGATTTCTTATGAGTGTTTAGAACTGTATGTGTGCAAGTAAATCTAATATATCTGTCTGCAACATGTATAATCAAAAATGGTCCAGTATTATTGACATGCCGAGCAGTGGCTGCTCCAGAACAGACAGAAAGACCAAACACATGCAGTAATAGCTTTTTCACCCACTCCGTGTATTCATGGATCTCAGAATATATGCTAATCAATAAACTGGTTTCACTCAAAATCTTAAAATTACAGAAATGGTTACACAAGATGTATACGATTAACAATGTCAAGTGAGAATGGTTGGGATCTGCAAGACTTTCTGTGATTGGGGAACCACAATCAAAATGTGTGCCTATTACATCTCCATATAAAGTGCCAGTGATGGGACGGGCAGAACAGTTCCCATCATTAGATCTTAATGCACAAGAAGATGTATAGAGAAAGAAGCTTCCTCAAAATTGAGGTCCTGAGATATCTTGTGTGTTTTATACTAGATAATGTTGTCGTTTTTGTTCTTTGAGAGAACTACTTCCTCAGCACCCCACGTGGAACCTTCTGTAGCAAGGTTGTGATTTTTTTTTAAAAGGAGATGTTGAGTAGTAAAAAGTTAGAAAATCGAAAATTGACCTGATTCATATCAGGTTGTGTAACCATCGGTGGAGCTGAAAACTGCTTCTGGGGATATTGCTTTGGTCAGACGTTGGTAATGATGTGGCTGGACTAGATGGACACTCAGTCTGGTGCAGGAGAGCTGCTGTTATAATATATAGAATTCTCACTAGAGGTGTGAATATTTGTGTTTTTGACATGCTTCCTGGGGAATTCTGGAAATTCTAATGCTAAAATAATGAATGCTTCATAACAGTAGAAAACAGACAGTCTGGAGACTGGCAAAATGTTAGGAAGAACAACCTTCCGAACACGGCCAAAGACTTGGAAAAACCCACAACAACCATTAGATCCCGGCTGTGAAAGCCTTCGTGAATGCATTCATTATTCCTCCACAAGAAGTGGATAATTTAGGAGAGTCCAAGGACCAGTTTCCTTCCCCCAGAAAAAAAAGGCATGTTTGGTGTCTGGAATTCCGTTTAGTCTTTATATTTTTTTTTTTCCAATTTTTCATTTATTTATTTTTTGGCCATGGGGGCCATTGGTTGAAAGAAATTCAATATAATATAAACTCTTCTTTATAGTGAAAGTGTTGCCATACCAGGAGGGGAACTTTCTTACCCTTGGAAAACATTTTTAGTACCAGGGGGCATTAGGAGGGTTGGGAAGACACATCCACTTTGCCCATCCCAATCTAAAATATTTTTGTCATTGCTTGGAAAAGCTATTTTTCTGGATTATACAGCTCACAGAATTTCAGAGCTATCATGGCAAGTTGTCTTTGTGTTGCAGAAAGTCACTTCTCTGAATTCTGGGAATACCCTGTGTGGGAGAGGGTGCAGTTTTTTTGTTTTGTTTTGTTTTGTTTTTTTTTTTGGCTAGTTGTCCCATCTGGTCTGCTACTATCTGCCCTGATGTGAAGTACCTTTCCATGGCCTGAGGCACTTACTCGTGGGCAGCCACACATGCCTCAGACCTTCCTGGCTGAATAATCTAGGAACTAAAGTATGAAATTTGCCCTTAGGCTAGTTACCTGTTTATCTGTTTCTTCTGGGCTACTCCTAAGTTTAACTGTCTGAGGACAGTCTGCAAACCCAAGTAAGACAGCCCAGGCTGGTTGCATTTAATTGATTGACTTGTGGATGTTGTAACTTGTACTTAAACATCAATGAGGTTCTAGATACTTTTGTCCATTAGTCAACATCTTGCTCTGTTGTAAGTTGGATCAGTGTTTTGTGCCATTACAAAATGTGCTAAAGTTTTGCGGGCATATTTTAATCCTTGACTGCTGTGTCAGGAGAGAACTGCTGTGCTTCACTCTTAGTTGCTGGTGTGCAGATGCCTCTCTAGGCAGCTCCCGGAGGTAATCCACAAGAGGATCTCCTGTCGCTTAGGTTCTTTCTAGAGCAGAGGAGTAGAACTCAGTTTCTTCTTGGGCTGCATCGGCATTATGGTTGCCCTCAAAGGGCCGGTTGTTATCTGTAAGACTATAGAAATGTATCTACTCTTCATCATATTAAATATAATCCGACTCATTCAATTACCACTTTCTGACTCTTCGGTGCTTGGAATGCTGGGATTAGAAGTCCCACTGGGCGGATTCCCAGCATCTTTGCACATGAAATGGCCTGGCGGCTTAGGTTCTTTCTAGAGCAGAGGAGTAGAACTCAGTTTCTTCTTGGGCTGCATCGGCATTAGGGTTGCCCTCAAAGAGCCGGGCCGGTTGTTTAAGACTATAGAAATGTATCTACTCTTCATCATATTAAATATAATCGTCCTGATTCAATTACAGTGGTGCCCCGCAAGACGCGCGCTGCGTTTGACGATGAAATCACATCACAACGAACTTTTTTGCGATCGCAAAACGATGTTCCCTATGAGGGAATTTCACTTTGTGATGATCGGTTCCCTGCTTCGGGAACTGATCATTGCAAAGCGATGATTTTTAACAGCTGATTGGCGGTTTCAAAATGGCCGCCGGGTAAACAAAATGGCTGCTCGCTGTGTTTTCGCATGGATTCCTCGCTGCACAGGTAGCGAAAATGGCCACGCTATGGAGGATCTTTGCTGGATGGTGAGTTTGAAGCCCCTAGGAACGCATTAATCTGTTTTTAGTGCGTTTCTATGGGCTTTTAAAAATCGCATCACGACGTTTTCGTTCTACAGTGATTTCGCTGGAACGAATTAATGTCATGATGTGAGGCATCACTGTATCACTTTCTGACTCTTTGCCACTTGGAATGCTGGGATTAGAAGCCCTGCTGGGCGAATTCCCAGCATCCTTGTGGAGCATTATGGGTGACTGAGTAAGTGCCTGCATATTATATACTGCACAATAGCAGGCAACCCTGCAAGGGCCACAAGAAACGGCCTGGTGGGCCGGATTTGGCCAGCGGGCCTTGAGTTTGACACATGTGTTCTAGAGTGTTAGGGGTGGTGAAAAATAAGGCCTCTCTGAAGGAGATAGAAGCCCTATTTAAGTCCTCGCCTGGCCTCTCTCTCACTCAGCCTAGGCTCCCTCCATGTGTTGGATGAGAAGATTTAAAGCAGGGAATCTCTAAAGAATGGTGAACACCTCCAGTGGTGGCTGCCAGATGCCCAACAAAGCACCTGTGGATGCAGACTGCCAGGGCTGGCCCAAGACGTATTTGCAGCACTCTTGCTCCCCTCTCACTCATTTCAGGGTGGGTAATAGGCAATAGGTGGATAATAGGTAATAAACAATAGGGCTGTGCTCTTTCATGTTTGTGAGCTGAAATTCCTGGAATTGTCCAAGAATTTCAGAAATTGCAGCCCACAAATCCAAGCCAGTGTACCTATACTGGCTTGCTTCTCTAGAGAAGGGCTTTGGGGCTTTTTATCTGTACCATCAGCTTTCTCGACCTTTACTTCTTATTCTGGAATTGTTAAGAAAGAAAGCTGCCAAGATGCTTACTGGGAGCTATAGATCTTTGGGAGTTACCCTCTACAGAGCCTAATGGGAAGTGGGACTATAACTCCCAGGAAGCAGTGGGACAGCTTTCTTTCTTTCTTTCTTTCTGTCTGTCTGTCTGTCTGTCTGTCTGTCTGTCTGTCTGTCTGTCTGTCTGTCTTTCAAACAACAGACAGGGAAGCAGATGGCGTATTTGGGTGTGTGGTCTTAAACATGGAAGAACACACCATAAGAACGTAAGAAGAGCCCTGCTGGATCAGGCCAAGGGCCCATCTAGTTCAACTTTCTGTATCTCACAGTGCCCACACCAGATGCCTCTGGGAGCACCCGGGACAGCTAGATACCTGTCTCCTGATACCCCTCCCCTGCATCTGTCGTTTGGAGGTACCTTCCTTTTAAGCCTGGTGATTATACATCCCCATCATGGCCTGTAACCTGTGATGGACTTTTCCTCCAGGAATTTGTCCAATCCCCTTTTAAAGGCATCTAGTCTGGATGCCATCACCAGATCCTGTGGCAAGGAGTGCCACAGACTAACAACATGCTGGGTAAAGAATTTTTTTCTTTTCTCCCTTCTCACTCTTTCAACACTCAATAGGAGTGGATATCCCCTGCTTCTGGTATTGTGGGAGAAGGATCTATCCACTTTATTCATCCCCTGCATAATTTTATACATCTCAGTCATGTCCCCCCTTTGGTGCCTTTTCTCTAGACCAGAGGTCTCCAAACCTTTGAGGTTGAGGGCCACATCGTATATTTTTCACATTTTTGAAGGCCAAGAATAAGGAGCATAGGTGTCTCTCTGTGTTGTTGGACTCATATTCCATTAGCCACAGCTGCTATGGCCTTTGTTGTCCAATTTCCACCACCTAGAGGACCACAGGCTCCCTGCCCCAATAATCAGAGTGTGCAGAGTTCAGACTTGAAGGGTCTGCTTTGTCTTTTACTGGAACCCAGGGACTTGTTACTAGAACTATGGTTGAAGCCAGACATAGAGCACAGGTGCAAAACCATTGCTTAGCTTAGTCAGACGTACTCTAAGCCTCAGGGAACCACACATGCCCAGTCTATGAATCTGCGAACAGTACCGAATCCCAACTCAAAACTCTGTTTGCAGGGGGGGGGAAATTCGTGGTTTTCCCATCAAATTGCAGCCTTTTTCAGCAATCTAATGTAGAGAGAAAATGGGGTGTTCTTTTAAAGTAACAATTGTTGATGGTAAACAGGGTTTTCCAAATCCCACTTAACTGTCTACTGCAAATTACCTAGAAATCTACCAGTAGATTTCTTCTGGCCACCTCATTATTGTTTCTGTATGTGAAGTTGATTTGTGGGATCAGCCTTCTGGTGAAGGCACCATCAGTGGGCAGCTTGATCTCCTCTCCTCCCCCCCCCCACTTGTGTACTCTCACTGGATTTGAGGATAGATGGGTGGCTTTATTAGAGAAGGAAGAGAGGTGCAGTTGCAACAGCTCTATTTTGATGAAGGTAGGCAACTGCTACTCCATTTGCCCTCAGGTGCCCTGGAGTAACATTAATATCATTTTGGTTACAGTGGCAGTTAGTGATTGGTCACTTGAAGCATCAGAAAAATGAGGACATAGCAGAGTGACACCGCTACACCGAGGCAGGATGTTTCAGTGTGATGTAGGCCTTAGTAAGGCTGTCTGTCAGTAATACACTGAGAGGAGTAACATGGGTTCTAACAGGTGTTTATTTTATGTCCTATCCCTAGAACCTTTCCATGGCAAAAACAGTACTCAGAAGTGTCTAGAAGGACTGCACCCTGCCCTGGCAGGGCTTAAAGGCCGCAGAAAATCGGGTGCGAGCTCCTCTAGTCCAGCATGCAGCATAAACGGTCTCTACGGTCTGGTGTTGTGGGACTGGAAGCAAACACCTGGAGGGCTTCTGAGTGGAGGCCCTTGGGTCAAAGCTAACTTGGGAATGGATTGTGGGCCTGTGCTTTGCCAAACATGCCTCTCAGTTCCTATTAAACTCAATGGATAGCACTGGCTCTATATACAGTATTCCATGTGCTCAGAAACTGGGCATCTGACATTATGAGAATCCCATCTTCTTTTTTTAAACATGAGGTTTTGGTTCTTGTGGCATCTGAGAAGATGTAAGGACTGTCTTTCATGTTCTCAAGGAGCTACAAGAGTAAATGTCCAAGTAGCTAAAGCGTCCATTCTCTCGACCAGGCCCTTTGCCTTCTTCCTTGTCCAGCTGTTTGCTGGTTCCTACAACCCATTTACACTCCTTGTGCTCTTCAAGTCTTTGAAAGAAAAACACCCAGTTCATTTAGTATTAATTAATTAATTAATTAGCTAGCTGCCTTTATCTTTACAAAAGGACCCAAGGTGGCGTACAACAATTAACATGGATCTGAAAGAAAAGATAACCAAAAGAATTGTGAAGATTTAATTTGTTTGGCCTCTTGGTCATTTTTGGTACAGGTAGTTTGCAAGCCCACATAACAAACCGTTGGTGTTGGTGCTTGAGAGGCATGTTCTCCACTGCTGGGTGGAGGCTGGTGCTGTTTGGTTCTCCACTTGGATGCTTCAGGGTGTTCCCTTTTGGAGGGGCAGAGGTTGTGGGCTAAAGCTGGTGCTGGCTTTGATTGATTGATTGATTGATTGATTATGAATGAATGAATGAATGAATGAATGAATGAATGAATGAATGAATGAATGAATGAATGAATGAGAGAGACAAATTCAGTACTTCTGGGCTCAACCTCATCGATCTTACAAACTTTGCTTTCATCACAGAGCCAACAAAGCAGATCCTCAAGCAACTGAGCAACAGAGGTGAGTGTTTTTGTTCTTTTAATCTTCAGCACCCAAACCTCTGCCCAGATTTGCTGGCTTTATGTGACTGGAATTTGGCAGACACGTGTATGAAAGGAGTGTGAGAGGGAGTAGCCACATTCAATGGTTTAGGCATCTGACTGTGGAGCCACAGGTTGGGAGTTCAATTCCCACTGTGCCTCCTTGACAAGGGCTAGGCTTGATGATGGATAGGATCCCTTCCAACTCTGCAGTTCTAAGATTATTAAGACTTCTGGGTTTTCACCCATCCCCTGCTGGCATGAGCTCTCATCATGCTTCCTGAGGTTCAAAGGCAGCCTTGGGACACATGCAAAAAGAGTTTTCCCACCTTTTCTTTACACAGTCCTTTAGTGGCTTCTTGATGCCCAGAACGTGACCCACTGTGATCTTCTCAAGGAGGGACAGTGGCCACTGGAAGGGGCTATAACGTCTGGCTAGCAACCTATGCCCAGCTTTCAGCTGTCTTGCTTCTGGTAGATATGATACGTCTGAAATGGAAATTGAGGACACTGACCAACAAGTACCATGTGTGGATGAAGAATATATTACTAGGCAAGGAACTGATATCCAGCAATTTCCTTAATGGCATCTTTCCCTTCTTTTTTTTCATGTGCTGCAAATCTGGTAATAGGACTAAAGGTAAGATCCAGACCTTCTGGAAGGGAGGGAAAATTGCAGGTGGTAAGGGAGAAGAACAGCCTTTCACTTAAGGGGCAGAAAATGATGAATGCCTTGCAATAGGCTTTGAGTCCATGATGAAACACCTTCTTAAGTGAATGTCATGCTCTTACCACCCCATGACAACTGTAATCTCTCAAACCATGGGAGAGTGATTTCCCAAATAGTGGGATGCAGGCTCTCCAGAGAGCTCCGGCATGTGTGGCTGCCCACGAGTAAGTAGCTGATGCTAACTGTGAGGGAGGAGAGCATCCCGTGTCATGTCTCTGCTCATATCCCAGTCGTGGGACCTTTCTGAGGAGACCCACTGCTTGCCCCTCACTTCAAATAGCATGCCGATAGTGATGGAGCCCTTTTGGAGTTTGGGGAAACCCCACAACCCCCCCACAGCTTACCCCCCGAAGAGGAGGAGGAGGAGGAGGACCAGCAGGCCCATCCCGAAGAGTCTCCAGAAGAGTTGGCTGAAAGTGACGGCAGCGAGAAGGAGACTGGGCCAGAGGAAGAGGAGGAGGAGGAGGAGGAGGAAGAAGAGAGGCTGGTAGGAACGGAGCAGGTGGCAGACCTTGCAAGCTCCTTGATGGCGGTCCTCCATTGCTGGCACTATCGGGCCAATGCTTTGCTTTTCTCCTGGGGCAGCACGGTGAGGTGCCTATTTGATCCCTCTGCCACAACTCCCTTGTGTGCATGCTGGCTTGGTGCATGGCTCTCCTCCGCTTCTCCCCATTCATTTTGTCTGCCTGTGGTGAAATCATCTCTTAATGAGACCCGGCCAGCTCCTTGTCCTTACAGGTGGGCCCTAGAGGGTATGTCTCTGAAAAAGAAGAAGAGACCCATGCGCCGGCGGTTTTGTGTCTATTTAACCCCTTAAGCAATTCTACTGATTGACTTGGTGCTTTGTGCACTCCCGTACAGACTAATAATATTTGTACCTTCATAACACTGGGTCTTAAACCATCTCCCCTGCTTTATGTGAAGTCATTTTACTTTCTTCAGTTTTTCTTTCCCTTTTGCTAAGAAGGTTCTGCCAACATTGGCAACATTATATGAAGAAGGTGATGCTAATGTTCAGCAGGACCCTTGTGAGCTCCTGTTGCCTGTGCTTTTGGACCCTTTCGGGATCCAGCATTGCTTCAGATGCCTTGCAGGCAGTGCATCAGCCTGCTGTTTTTCACCAGTCCATTCAGCAGCCTGGATCAGACGGGTGCAGGGCACCTAGTAAACAAGCTCCTTAAAGCTACCGACATGGAAGGAATTGAGACTTGCCTCAAGACAGGCATGATGTAAGCCTGTCCTGTAACAGGGCAGGGTGTGAGCTAAAACCACCCATGTTTGTTTCCTTAATGGCCATTTGCAAGGCTGCTTGATTTTGAAAGCAGTGGCTTTAGTTGGTTTGTCCAATGTGGTCTAGAATAATGGGCTTGGGCCTGTGCTGGAGGTTTTTGATTGCTCATGTGTTCATTTGGGCAGCAAGGGCCAGCTATAATCTCTCAGCTTCCTGCTATAAAATGGATATATTACTGGTTATAAGTTAAATTGAGTTAAGGATTGCAGTGTATTTCAGAGTGATAAGTAACAATGGCAAAAGATGTTTAGTCGTATTGATTCTATCCCTGTATGTAAAGACAGTGGTTCCTTTCCGAACTGCTCTCCCTATAAAAGGACTGCTTCTGTTTCCTTTCAGGGCAAGGGACACAAAGCACAAGAAGGACCCAAACAATGCCTGTTTTCAGGCAGGAATGAGAAAATCAGCACCATGGAGACCGGTTCCTCCGTCCCAAAGGTGGGTGGGTTGACTGCCTGTGAGATAGGCTGTGCCATGTGTTGCTAGGAAGTCCTCTGTTCCTGGCAGGTCTGGACAAAAGTTATTCATTGAACTACAGCTCCTCCATCAGCATGGCTACTGGGACATTTTAGGAGTTGCAGTCCACAAAATATCTCCCAGATGTTCTCCTGGTTTCTGCTTGTGCCAGATGAGACAAAGGGAATCCTTTGGCTCTTACAAACTTCAGAATCCCAAAGTCATGCGACTACCACTACCCAATCTCAAAAGTTCCCATGTCGGATGCAGTTGAGCCAAGACTAAGACTAAAACATTTTGCTGCCTGGGATTAAGGACAAGATGGATAACATTCCCATACCATGTTCAGAAGCTGTCTGGAGTGACTGCTAGATCTTAGTTCAGCAGTGCTGGTAGAATAGTGTGCTTTCTCTCATCAGAAGCAACAGACTGATCTAGAGGGCCAATGGCAGGCTATGTTAGATACACACCTCTGGAACAGTTGGAAGGCCACCTCTGTGGCATTCTTGTTTCTGTTGCCTGAGAAAATTGCCTTATGGTGGGGTGATCCTGAATGTACCCTTCCAGAAGATAAGTCATACCGATCCCAAAGAATGTAACTCTGAGTCAAACTAGATATTAAAGATAATACGTATTCCCTTCAATTAACATGACATCCTCAGAGATACATGCCACAGCAATCAGATTTTCTGGTTAAGCCAATATTTACCCAACAGTTTGACCAACAGAAAAGCAAAGTGTGTTAAACGTCTTTTATTGAATCATTTTAGGGGCAGTTATGTTTTCTATCTTAAAAGCCTGTAGTTAAATAACATGTACACTGATCTCTGGCATTGGGTTGCGCTTGAGCAATGTTACGTAGATTAAACACCGAACAGTAATCGGAAAGGGGAGAGCCAGTGGAGTGAATTGGAATGGACACAGTGTCAGACAGGGGGGACTCAAGAGACTTGCGTTCCAATTCCCACCCAGCCATAGAAGCTCATAGGGGAGGGGATAATAATGATAAACTTGAACACCTACTTGAACATCTCATGTATTGCAAAAACCCTATTAGGATTCCCATAATTTGGAAGCAATTTGGCAGCACATAATAACAAACGATCTTCACGCCCCTTGTTTTGTCCTATATGGGAATAAAATATGAGAAAGCATTCCCTCCTCCCCCAACCTGCTCTCTGTTGGTATGTTTCCTAGGCTCGATCAGCCATGGAGCTTAGCAGAGTATTAGAAGTCTCTGCCCAGAAGGAAGAGTGTCCAGAAGAGAATCCTTCCGACCCAGAGTCAACTGGGCTTGTGGACCCTGTCCTAGCAGAGCAGCAAGAGGCCCCCGATAAGTGTCCAGACAGTCTGGAGCCCACTGAAAATACAGAACAGCTGAAGCCCCTTAGCAGTGAGGAGGAGGAAGAGGAGGAAGAAGAAGAGGACAGCCATGCACCCCAGCCCAGAAGCATCCTCCCAGTCTCTGTGCTGGATCAGGCCAGCATTATTGCAGAGCGCTTTGGCAGCAACCTTTCCCGTCGGAGTAGCCTGGCCCTTGAGGAGGGGAAGGGCCCTTTGACCCCCAAGCTGGCCAGCCGGAGCAGCAGCATCCTAAGCTTGGAAGGGAGTGAAAAGCCTGCCCTAAATCGCCAAAACAGCACTGATACCTCACACTGCCTCATGCCACCAGAGACCTCGGCAGAGTCCAGCAGTGTCTGTGGTCAGGCAGCTTCACCTGGGCTCTTTGAGCCTGATCACCGTCCTTCCTTGTGCAAAAGGAAAGAATCCATGCTCTCCCAGCAGGACCGGCAGCTGCTGGACAAGATCAAGAGCTACTATGACTATGCAGAGCATCAGGATGCTGGCTTCAGTGTCCGGCGGAGAGAGAGCCTCTCCTACATCCCCAAAGGACTGGTGAGGAATTCAGTCTTCCGCATCAACAGCCTTCCCCAGTCGCAGCCTGGCCCAGAGGTCCTAAGGAAGAAGAACCTGGGCCCAGCCTTGGGCAGCACTGGGGTGGGGCGGACGGCAGCCTGGGTGCTGTCTAACCGGCCTGGGGTTGGCTCACAGATCCTCCCCTCTGAGGCAGCGGGTGATGAAGCCCCTGCCCCCATCACTGAAGCAGAGTTCAGGCCACCTGCTGAGATGATTAAAGTCTGGGAGGAAATGGAGAAACCGAGGCGAGAGTGCTGGAGCAGGCAGGTTGAAGATGGCGGCACCAAGGGCGGCAAGGCCAATGGGCCCTTGACTCGGGGCGCCTCAGGACGGCACACGGAGCCTTCCTTGAAAGACAGGCTCAGGGGCCAGGAGAACGGCCTGGACCTCCATGAGCCACTTTTTATCCTGGAGGATGGTGACCTTGGGGACATCACGGAAGAGTCGGCCGTGCCCTCCCCTGAGAGCAAATCACCCACAGAACGGGCCATGCCCTCAAGGTTGCCCTGGAAGGCATTGCAAGGGCTAGGGAGTTGTGAGCCAGATTGGGGTCCCTCTCAGATGCACCCCCGTGTCATGCAGCTGGCCCACCTGACTGAGGCAGAGCTGACGGAAAAGGTGAAGAACAAGGTGTACCAGCTGGCCCGCCAGTACAGCCTTCGGATCAAGGGTCAGAGACCTACCCCACGTAGGAAACTGGCTGAGGTGGAGGAGGAGATGAAGGGCAGCAACTCAAGTGGCCAGCAGGAAGGAAAGAAGGAGAAGGGTATGTATTGCCCCGAAGACACGGTGTGGTCACAAGCAGTCCAGCATTGTTCCTATTGTATGGATTACTGCAGTGTCTAGAAGCTGTAGATAACAATTGGGGGTGGAGTGGGGGAGGATGCTGTGAGAACAAAGAAAGGTGAGCACATGCTATTGTATTTATTATCTGTGGTTTACTTCTGGAATCAAGGACTCGTTTTTTCCTACCCACTGTGATTTTCGACCACATTAGGCAGCAGCCTTTGTAAAATAGGAAAGAAAGCATTGCTATAATATTCTTTTCTATAATAGAATATATTCTCTTCTGCTCTTACAGTATGTCAGTCGTTTTATATATATGTTTTTAAGAGCTACATTGAAAAGGCATTTAAAGGTATTTATTAGTGAAAGGTAACTTATTTAGCAATGAAATGTATTAGATGATTTAAGGTCTGTGTTATAACCCTGCTGAGCAGAATACTATTTCACGAGAGTAGATGATCAAAATGTAAATAATCCAAGACAATGCTTTGAATGGAAAACAGCCATAGGTCTGTAGAATAAGCAGGTTTTAACAAGATACCTACAAGTCAGATCATCAGGAAGGGAGCCAATTAGACCTTTCTATTGAGAGGGAAGGCTCTAATTGAGAGCAGTGGTTCCCAACCTTGGGTCCCCAGATGTTCTTGGACTAAAACTCCCAGAAGCCTTCACTGCTAGTCTTGCTGGCCAGGATCTTCCTCTTTCTTTCCTCAGAGCTCTTCTGATTGGTGAGCATTGTGGGCAAGAAAATGTGTTTTAATGGCAGCAACCCACCACCAGAGAAGGCTGCCCTAAGGCAACTCCATGACCTGTTAAATGTTGGACAAAGGAAGATTTTTTTGTGTGTGGTGGCGGTGGTGTGTTGAGTCCTTGGATGAGGACAGAAAGATATTTTTAGAGTGGAGATCCCTTTCTGTAGGATTGGGAGCAAGGAAGTTGAGATGACCATGTTCCTAAGTAGGGCTAGAGAGCAGATCTGGTAGCCGCTTTGGCTTAGTCCTCTCTCTGTAATGCCTTTCTGTCACCTAAATTCCTTTAACTGTGTTACTTTCTATGCTTTTTTCTTTGTTTCTATGTTTCCTTGCATTACTTTCTCACTTATCTTTCTCCATTTTCTTGGGCTGATAGATAAGAGGCAAAGGGGAAAAGTATTATCTTGGCACAGAGCCTTCACCCAAGACCCAGGTTGGAAGAAAGGAAAGTTCTCTCCTCCCTTGGAAGACCTTGCTCAAACATGCCCTATGCTTCTCTCCCCTCAGAGGGGAGGATGCCATGTAGTGGCTGACTAACCAGGCAACCTCTGGATCATCTTGTGGTGGTCAGCAAGGGTGCCTCCCCATGCTTTTCCCTTCAGTCACCAGCTTGCCTCCTGCAGTTGTGGCCAACTGCTAGCCTGTGGCACTTTTCTGTGAGTTGTTCTGGGGGTGGGTGGGGGAGGGGATGAATTCTTCACATGTGAAGCCAAAGTTGGGCAACCTCCAGAGGCCTGAGGGCTGCGCACATCCATTCCTAGACCTTGGAGGGCTGCACCCCCTTCCATGCCCCACCCACACCAAAACCAATTGCTCCTCTTTTTTAAAGTAAAAAGGCCCCTCATGCTGTGTGTGTGTGTGGGGGGGGATAGGGCATGAGGGGGCCTTTTTTACTTTATAATAAGTAAAATAATTTTTAAATGTTTCTGGGAAGTTAGAGGGACTCTGGGGTACTGAGGGACCAGAACATGGCAAAATTGCCTCCTGTGTCTCCTAGAAGCCACAAGAAGACTTTCTGAGGAAAAATAAAAATAAGAGGCTTAGTTAACTGGGGCTCCCTGTGGGTGACTTGGGGTTTCATGCATCGGTTGCACTCCTGCTCCAAGCTAGATGTGCATTAGGAGGGTGACCAGATGGCCTCTTCAAGCCAGATTTCCAGGCAATCCTCTTGCCACCCACAGAGGACATAGCTTCCATTCTTCTAGCTGGTCAGTAGGATGGTGCTGTGTGGTCCCCACAAAGCCATCTTTCCTGACTTCTGTCCAGAATGCCCTGCAAACCCGTGGACATTGCCCATAGCCACTTAAAGCAGATATCAAGAGAGGGAGTGTTTTCTGTCCATCTTGGATTCCTTCCAGTCCAGAATACGGGCTAGAAAGAAGTCACTTGAACCATTCATTCTGCAGTGAGCATAAATATGTTCTTCCTCTTGCTCATTTTGAAAACCACCATTACTGCTTCAAGGAGTCCAGGTAGAGATTGTCAGGTAAAACAGAGGGCTGTGTTGGGTGGATCTTGAGTGGCCTGTGGATCCTAGATTTTTCTGTGGTTTGGGAGAGTGACCTATGTTTGAAAAGCTATAATTGACTAGAGAGAGGTCTGAGCTACTGAGTTGAAGTTTGGGAACAATCCTCATTGCAGTCATTGGGCCCAAAAGGCACCATCTTCTTTCCACCCTGAGTTTAGGAAACTTACTTTTTTGACCTACAACTCTCAGCTAGCATGGGCACTGGGGGGATTCTGTGAGCTACAGGCCAAACAGTAAAATTCCCAACCTCTTTTCTGGCCCTAGCACTTCCTGACTCATTGCTTGCTGGTTTCTTTCCTAGGCAAACAGAAGCCAGCCTTGAGTCTCCTCAACTATGAACAAGTTTTGCTGCAGGAGGCCAGTCCACTGAGCGTGGTGTCATCTTCCTCCACTCACGAGAAGTCGCCCAAGTGCTTCTCCTTCAGCCCCTGCTCCAGCAGCCCCCACCTCATTTCTCCGACCAGTACCCTTTCGCACAGCCCCCTCAGTCCCATGGTAGTTGAGAAATTCAGCTGGCCTGATGTGCGGGAGCTGAGGTCAAAATATTCCTGTCAGGCAGGGACTGAAAAAGGCAGACCTTTGCCTGTTAACAGGAGCCGTTCCGCACCTGAGAAAATGGTGGATGCTGATAGGGTGCTGGGGGAACATCTGTGCCCCAAGAGGAATGTGAAAGCAGTGGTGAAATCCCAGGAAGGGGGGAGGCAGAGCTGCAAAAGGGAGGCCCCACTTAATTCCATCCCCAAGGATCATGCCTGTGATGCTCACAAGGAATTTTGTGTCACAGCCAAGGACACTTTGGAGAACAGTCAACAGGTGACAGTCACGGAGAAACTTTTGGACACCACTGGGGAGCCAGATGAGAGCTACGTTCAGATTCGCTCGCCTACATCCCGGGAGAAGATCTCCCTCAAAGCTGTGGTGGAGCGATGCAAGGCCTATCAGGACTCTGAAGAGTATCGTAGGCGTGAGGAGGACATTCAAGAAGGAGATTCCAGGAAAGCACTTCAGCAAGGCCACTGGGACAAGACAGACGGTCACCAGCAAAGCCTGGTCAAGAACCTGAGAGAGAAATTCCAGACCTTGAATTCTAACAGCTGAGCCTCCTGAATTTCATACCCCCGAGGTCCAAATGAGGAAGGCTTTGGAATAAGCCTTTGAAGGGAGCTTTGACATCCTCTCCAACTGAAGAGGATAAAGGACTGACAGAGATCTGTTCTTCCTGCATGGATGGGCAACTGGCTTCCTCTTGGATTATTGTATTCTATGCCATGTGGACAGCTCCCTAGAACCTTCTGGGAAGCTGCAGGCCCCTTCAAGGAGCTCTCTGATGGCGACGCCTTCTGAGCAGGGCGGCTGCTTTCATTAACCATTCTAGTGACTTGAACCTTGTATCAACTTCCTGCTGACACCCTGCTCCACAGGGTTTTTGTTTTCTTTTGTTGGAGATGGGGAACATCTCCTAGAAGCATAATGGAGTTTCCTATTAGAGCAGGCACACCACAAGTCAGCTATCCCGAAGGCCAGGTGAGGAAAGTTGTGTTCTCCCCACTGGGTCCAGGCTTGCTTGGGAAGATGTAAACCAGAGCAGAAATGAATGAGCCTTCTTTTGTTCACCCTCATAGGAGAATAAGTTATTGTTCCCAACTCTCTCTCCTTTTTTTAAAGATGTAATTTTACTGTGTCTGGGAGTCTTGGTGGGTTCCAAGGCTCTCTGAAAAAGTGTAATCTAATATTACCAGTTGTGTACATATTTCAGTCTGTACGCACTGTGCAATAACCACTTTGGACCAAAGAATATGGCTTCGGCTTCTTTTTCACTTAGGGGCGGGCTGTGAGTTGGGGTAGAACTGTAGAGGATCATAATCCTCCGTTTTTGTACTATTTTCCAGGTGCAAAGCTGCACTGATATGATGGATGCATTTTTGCAGTCACTGGTGTACCACAAGCTGACACAATTGTTGATGTGATCCATTATAGGGTTGTTGTGGCCATCTCAGGCCCTGGTGAACCACACACACACCCCAAATCTAGCTTGTAGTGTAATACCTACCTTAATGCAGTCTTGTGTTCTGAGGCAGAGCAATTAAGTAGGGTAATAAGAAAAAAAAAGTCAAAAACAGGAATTGCTTTTTTCCTCCCTTATGCCCTGCTGCACTGGTACACATACAGCAAAAGCTGCTGGTCCTTACCTGGTCATGTGGTGGGATTTTCATTTAATGGTCTTATTTCTAGTGACTTTACATAAGTTAAACCAGCTCCAGGGCTGGCATGCCTGTCCCCACCCTCGGTCTGGAAGTGTGTGGAGAAGATGGAAAGGCTTTGCATCCCAACTGGATTGATAGACTTCCCCCAATGCTTCCTTTTTCACTCTACCTGACACGGGAGCTTGGTTTTGGAATGCCAGATACAGACCCTTCCACAGGTAGGAGGCTTAGGAAGTTGATTTGTTTTCTCTGCAGGGGCAAACATTCTCCATTTGCCCTCTGAGAGACAGATCCAACAAATCCAGTAACAGATCACAGATCTTCCACAGATCACAAGATTACATTATTTAATATTTTCACTTCAAGTTGGACACTAGTATATGTAGGGAGTATTCAGCCCTAGGGGCAGGAGATAGTAAAAAAAAGGGGGGGGGGAAACTGCCTAATTATACTACATACATAATTATGTGCTGGGTTGATTAAACAATTGGGGAGAGTGACAATATGGGAAGCAAAACTTTTATTCTGGATGGGTGGGCAGGATTCAGAGTGTGGCAGTCCACATTTCATCCCCTGTGAGGGAAAAAAACATGCACATACTGTACATACATTTGATATATGGAATCAAAATGTCTGCATAACTCAGACACTGGCCATTTATCCACTGCCTGATTAAGAGACAGTGACAATCATCTTTATTTTTGAAACTATATCTTTATTCCTCCTTACCAGTCTACTCAGAGGTCCTTAGGAATGACCTTTTCCCATGTCTAAGGATTCTTTATATTAAAGGTTATTCCACAGAACTTTGGGAAAATATGATAAAATATAGGTTGCCTGAAACTATAAAATGACTGCATATTGTATTGGTTGTCCAGGCTTAGCAGAAATGAGGAAGGGATTCGGACTATTCATCTCAATGACAGCAGACTCTGAAAAGTGGGTGAGCGAGTGAAAATTCAGAGTATGGTTCAGCAAAACACTGGATTTCCTTAATCTAGCACAAGGGGACATTGTCCTGAGAGCTACTAATATTCCTGTGGTGCTACATACTTAAAATTAGGGATGTGTATTCAGATTTGGAAAAGCTCAAAATGCTCTGAATGACACATTTGGCCAGCTCCAAATATACCTGAATTTGATTGTTCTGAATATCTGTAATAGTAATTCTCAAAATATGGTGTCCCATTTACTCCTATACATTGGAAAGGCAAAGGGGAAAAAAAACCTGGGTTCTGCTTCCCAAAGGAAGAAGTGAAAGTGAAACCTATCTCTCAGACATCTTGGAGTGATTTCTTGAGATCTAAAAAAGGCACTTTGGCACCAAGGGTAGTGGGGAAATAGAACAATGATTGGAGTTGGCATGGGCATTCCTAGGAAGGGGCACTGGGGTAAAAGAGAGCAAAACTTGTAAATGATGTATGTCTGCACCAATGAAATCTAGAAGCAGGCACACACACAAGAAGGCATTTTTGACATTGTTTCTTTTCAATTCAAAGGTGGGCCTAGGTGCTTATAAAGCCCCTGAGTATTTGCTGTTAGGATATGTTGTGGTGCAAGTCTGCACTGCAGCAGTTTCCTCTGTGTCCTTTTCTGAACCCACAAGTTACATTTATATTCTCGACATCTCATTGTATATTGTTGACTTATTGTAGTTGGGAATAAGATTTAGGATTAGTAGATTCATAGATTAATTCATTATAAATCAACAGGAAAATATTTTGAAAAATATATTAGGTATAAGGTATATCAGGCAGAATAGGATTTTGTTATATAGAGACAGATATATTGTTAATAGATTTTATGTCTGTCTCTGTGTGAATTTTTCATTTGAAACAATATAGCAGAATCACATACTGTTCTTTGGGTAGAGTCCACGGGCAATATGAAATATGGGTGCGGCAGAAGCAGCAAGCACTTGGGGAAGGCTGCAGGAATGCTGCCTGCACCTACTGGGGCTGCTACTGGGAGGGAGAGGAAAAAGACACCCTACAACTGCTATTATGAACCGTCCAAACAAAGCTGGCACCCAGCTTCCTTGTTCAGCACTGACAGTATGAAAGAGCACCAAGCAACAGTACAGTGTGCCTCTGCCAAGGAGGTGGCAGAGAAGCCTCTGATTCAGGGTGGACAGATACGAGTGAATCTCAGACACATTCCAGTGTCATCTTTGTGCAATCTAGGGACCAAAAAAGATGGCGAAGAAGGCACTTTTCTCTCAGAGAACCAATATGCCTCAGCTTGAGCATCAGCAGTCCTTTTGCTTTTGTAGTTCAGAAAGACATTGATGAAGAGCACCAAACATTACCTTCCATATCTGTACCATGCAGTTCCATCATATTCAAGGAAGGGCTTCCCCTATGCCCAGCAAATCTCTTCTGTGCGAAGTAGCATTGTGGTTGGTGGGAACTCCCCTTCAAATACATATCTCTCTTTGGGGAGGAGACTGAGGGGACTCAAGTAGCCCTCTTTCAGAAGAAGATGACACTGAAATTATCCCGGCCCTTCCAGCTACCAGAATTAGTAGTGATGAGAACAGTCCCTGTCAGGAACGTGCAGTCAAAAACTGGAGCTCCCAAGTCAGTAATCGGGAAACATTTGCAACAGTGTACAACAGATGCTCATATGTTTAAGGGGTTAGAGGCCTTAAGAGAGTGGACCGTTTGGCTATATAGAGTTCATATAGGAAGCAAGGGAGTTCTGAATATCTGGAAATTCTGAATTTTTAAAATTCCAAATCCAAAGGGCTATAAATCTGAATTCCAAATCTGAGTTTTGGTGCCTATTTAAAACATCGTCTGTGATTGCAGAAATCTTTGCCACAGCCTTGTAAGGTAGATTGGTTGTATTTCAGAGATAGTGGCTTACCCAAGGCCAATGTGGTGATACCGTGGCTGAGATAAACCTTGAAACAGGAACTTTTACACTGATAGCTTAGTGACAGAACATTAGACACAAAATTCCCAGAGCCAGGAAATGATTTATTTGTTCATTTATTAGGAAAAAAAATGTTATTAAATTGCTTCTGAAGCACATTCTGAAGCTTTAGCTCTTTTTCTCTGGACAGTGGAAGCACATTGGAGCAAGTGGAACTTGGTGCCTAGCTGTTAAAAGAGAATTAATCCCAAACCATGGACCTGTGAGAGAGGTCCTGGGCTCTTGCAGCTGTTCTTCTAATCTCCAAGAAACAGTCCTTGCTACTGTGAAGCAGACATGTTTTAGGCCTGGTCTTTTGATACGAAGCTCCCATCTAACACACCCTGACCTCTGCATCAGTGGGGTCATGGAAAGTAAGTCTGGTGGGACACCAGCTTGATGGAGGTTAAGTCATGTTTCACATCATTTCTCCTAAGAAGGAAACATTGGGCAGAGCCAGGCATGGGGAGGCTGCAAGTCACCAGACAAATTATTTTTGATGGATAACGAAATGCTCCTGGTCTGTAATGAGTAAGAGCACAATGCAGTGAGACGTGGCGACACCCAGACAACTGTATGCAAAACTTGCCAAGCTGAGACCAAATTTGAAATGGATCTAAGAGAACAGACTATGGTGGGTTAATTTACAATTAGAACATTATTCTGGGTAAAGCAGTGGTCACAGAATCAGAATAGCTTATCATCTTTTCAATTTACCCAAAATGAGTATAGCGTACTCAAGAGTAACAGCTGAAAGTCTCCTTCAAGAAATGAACTGACAGCTGAGCTCTTTATGCAGAATACCTATTGTGCCCTAAAACATTTTGTATAACTGCAGTTGGGTAGCAGGTTGAGTCAAGATTTCTTTGACTGGTATTTGCAAAAGAGTCAACTCAGTCCATCCTAATTCTCACATACTTTATACTTTTACATTTAAAAAAATTACCCTAAAGCTACAGAACCTGTCATATTCCTTCACTATTACTACTCTCTCATATCTTTGGGTCACCTTTACATAAGATTTAAAAAATTCACACTGAATCCAGAACTTCATACTTTTTTGGTTTAACAGCGTCATTACCTATTTCAGTGTGAGCTAATTAATATTCCCTTCTGCAAACAAGGATTGAAGGGTGGGAGGAAATCCCACTACCACCCTCTTTTTAGCACCTTGACTTTGACAGTGCAATGGAAGAGTTGACAATGCCACTAATCCATAGGAAATTAGCAGAATTGAAAAGTAACATTACCTGGTTTCAGGAAGAATACTTCCTCACACAGGTGCACTGGGATAGAGCATATAACATGAACTCAATAAAAGTTTGCTGCAAGAGTTCTCACCTTGATATCAAGGGGTTCTCCCTAGTAAAGGTCACAAAGACCCTTCAACTGAACTTCCATGTTCCAGTCTTTGAACAGAACGTAAGGACATTTTGTTTAAATAGGAAATCTTGTACCCAGAACACTTAAGTAGATGCTAGTCATGCTGTATGTTTTGCTTGTTGTCAGAGCCTGCTGTTCTGCAGTGAAGTGCACCATTGCTGACTGGAGTGAGCTCAGGTCTACCTCCACCTGCTGAGGACTGGGCTCCAGGTTTTTGTAGCACAAATGCTGCTAAAAATTGTTCACAATTATACATATACATGTTGTAACACCATGTTATCTCACCTGTCTCTAGCTAAATTCTTGTGATTACAAAAAATATTTCTGAATTGATTATTTGCTTTTGAGGGCATTCTGACACTACTTCCTCTTCCTGTAGAGTATCCAGTTATGAACCACAAAGTTTATTCAGTCTTGCTCAGTAATATTACCTGCTTTACATCTCAGTTCTGTTCTGGCCACTCGGCAGGTTTTCAGTGTCCAATTTTTCTTATTTATGGGTTGTGGTATAATCTGCTAGCAGGACCACTGAAAGTGCATTTGAGCAATATGCCTGCCTATGCATTTTTCCTTGAAGAAAAACCTGGAAAGTGGGGGACTTTCCTTTATAGCAATGATCCTTTAAAGTAGCACTGAGAAGGGGAAGTGCTGGCAGATTAAGTGTTGGGTTGCATAACTACATTAGCACTATTCAATAGTGCCAAGCCTACCCAAAATCAATAATAACAGGAACAAAATAACATCACCTTTTAAAAAGATTTATACTTGTTTTTCATGGCTTTTTCAATTGTGACCTTGTGGAAAATCTGTTCTGCCCACATTAGTTCAGAAGTCCATGTGGACTACACATTACAGCCCAGGAGACCTAGAGAAGCAGAGCTTTTTGAGACTTGACAGAAAATAACACTGGAAACAACCTGAGCCTCAACCATTGTTAACTAGAGCCATGGACACTGCAATCTGTATAAAACAAACAGAAAGCCCTCCTCCTTTCCAAAAGGGGTGGTGGTGGGTATATAGCAAGACAACCCTTTCACAACGCCCAAGGGTGTCTCTGGCATAAAAGAGATGTTTATAGCTTCCCCTAGAGTGATGAGTATCCAAGCTGTTCTGTGCATGGTGTTTATTGAGCTTGCTCACTCACTCTAGGTGTGATGATCATGGGAAGCCCCTAGGTTAAGGCACTTTCAGTATGGTATATGGCATCCACAAAGAAAAATGAGGTTGACTCTGAAATAACAATGAGCCCTAGGGGTGGGGTGCTCAAAAGGCAACAGAACAATGGTAGTCTAGTATTATATGAGACCTTGAGTACCAGCCAACATCACCATTCCTGCAAAGATGGCACTGCAGGAAAGGGTAATTTCCAGGCTCCTCCTAATGGCATAGACTACAAGCTCCCAAAGAATATGTTCCAAAAAAAGCAATTCCGCTCTGAGCAGCTCTCTGCTCATGGCACAGAATTTTTCACCTTGGAAAAGTGATTTGTGAATTTCATACAGTTAGCACTGGGTGTTCTCTGCATGTATTTTAAACAGCCATTCACACAAACATCACAGGCAGAGGTCTCTGCAGAAGGGAGCAGCTAGGACTAGCACTGTGCATTTGCAGTGACTGAAAAAGTCACTCTAAAGGAGTATAAGCAGAGTGCAGTGAATTACCAAAGGCCATGCTCAGGCACCATATATTTTCAAAGAGGAACAATGGAGGAGCCATTTGCTTCTGGAGAGCTGAGTCAACATAGATGTTTTCAGAAAGCTTGGTGGAAGGCATGGCACCCAGATTCAGGCTGGCCACAAAATGAACTTCAGCATAAATAATGGAAGTAATAAGATCCCACTAAGTAATATAGGGCACAATCCAGTGAAGGTTGATTGCAACTTTCATCCACTGAAGTCAGCATGGTCTTTTTCAGTGTAATTTAGCAGCAAATAACTTTAGGTAGACTGTGCTCACTGTGGAGGATGAGGAAAGCAGAGTTCCTCCCTCCCCACTGCTCCACATGTGTATTTCTAACATGGCTCTGTTCTAACCAGTTTAGTGCAGATGTTCACATGTGGGCATTTCCTCTGATTGTAATGCTGGTCCATTAAAATCAGCAGGGATTTTGTCACTATTGTCGTGGGTGGTAGAACATTTTTGTGAGAAAGAGTTCTGTGCTTTGTGACAAAGTGCTGTGCATGTAGGTAAATTCCAGTTTCCTACCGAGAGGAGCATTTGGGCTGCTGAAAATGGATTTTTGTCCTTCCACCAGGGCACTGAAACAAGCCAGAAGCTCGCTCATCATCCACTGCCTGTGTTTTTCCAAAAGAGTCCTTCCTTTATGCTGTAGAGATGGCTGTGAAGTCGTGTGACCCTTCTTTTCTATTTAAAGGACGACTGGGGAAAGGGCTTTCTGTAACGATCCAGAGATACATTTTCATATCATATATATATTTTAGGAAGGGAAAGCATTCCAAAATCACGTACTAAGCTTTCATGGTTTTCATCAAGTCCCTGTTAATCTATGTTCCTGCTCCATACCTTTCCTCCATAAGAAATCCCTGAAATCCACACAGTTCTCTTTCTGAGAGGTGTCTGCTTGGGTCTACAAATGATCACATTACAAGCTTTGTCTGGCTGAATTCTGCTTTTCCAGTGAGCCAAACAATGATATTTGTCTCTTATCTCTTCTTGAGACAATACAGGCTGTATTGGAGCAAGGGTGGTGCTTTCTTACCTGAAATGTTGGCTTGATGCCCTTTTGGGGACAGAGGGGAGATGGAGATGTGGTGGGAAATGAGAAGCAAGGCTGTGTTGGGGAGATGAGAACAGTGTTGAGTGGTGCCAGGAGTGCCCAGGGGCACTCACACATGCAGTTTTTTTCATATTATGCACAGTAGAGCATAGGCATCTGACTGGAGCAAACCATCTGCTTGGCTATTTCTTTTTGGGAAAGAAGCTGAATCTCTTCTCTTTGTCTTTCTTGGTCAGGCTCACATCCATGGTAGTGATGGAAGGCAGAGGCAGGCTTTGGGCCTTGGTTTTAATGCTTTGGGATTCAATTATTGCTGTGCTGAAGCCCTGAAGCCAGGTGTGCATCTCATCCTGTTAGAACATCAGTTGAAATAGTACCATGTATTACATTTCAGTTATGAAACATTACAGAAAGCAGAGACATTATTAAAAAACATTTGGAATATATTTCCAAATAAGAAAGATTAAATGTGTACATGCTACAGAATTTTTGGAAGGTTCCTCCACAACATTTTAGTCTGAAAATACTGTCTCAGAAAGAGGCTGAGGACAAGAACAGCTAAAGGTGTAAAAATGGTTTAAGAAGCCATGAAGTGTAACTACCAAAAGAATGATGGATTCAAACATAAAAATGTAGACTGCAATACTTATAAGTGCTTACCTCACCTGGGGCAGAGCCCTCCTAAAGAGAGGGGTTTATGGCTGAGTAAACAAGTATAAGATTGCACTGCCCATCGTCCACGAAAAATGAAAGGCAGGAAGGACAGTGTGTTTACTTTTCTCATGAAACCTTGTCTTGGCAGAGACATTATTTCTACTTCCTTTTTATGGGAAATCAAAGCCCAGCTCCTCTCAAAGTGAGGTTCCTGTAAGCAAGCCCCAGGATTTCCCCAGGATCCTGTGGTTTCCCAAATTGTGCAGCCCAAGAGAATAAAGAAGTTCAAATAACCATTCAACTGCCTAATTGAATCCCTCACTACCTGAAAGATCAAATAAGCAGAGAATTGCAGAAGATGGGCGGGGTATAAATCTAATAAAATAAATAAATAAATAAATACTTTGTAGTATTTGTTCAGTCTCAAATACCTAGGCAAGCAGGTGTACATTCCAAAGCTGTCTGGATTCATCCTGATCAACTACAGACATTTAAAATTCCTCATTAAATCAAATAAAGATTGCCTTTTCCCCGCTAAGGGAAAAATAACTGAACTACTATTTCAGCTTCTTCCCACTCAAAGGGATGGTTGTGATCCCAGGTAACCTTGATAGCCTTCACATTAATTACTCTAAAGGCAAAGGTAGGTGATACCTCTGTCAGGCACTAAAAAAAGTCAACAATAGCTTTCAAGCTAATGCTTGTGATTTTTTTTATTTTTTTGGTAATCCAATGAAGCTATCACTTACACTTGCCTTTGCATTGTTTACAAGAAGCACACAGTCCTTCTCCCCCTTTTGTAGGACATTACTCACTGTATTTTTCTGTGTATAAGATGCCCCCATGTATAAAATACCCCCCACTTTTCTAACCCAAAATTAAGAAACCTAAGTGGGGCTTAGCAAATGTAGGGGGAAATGGATCAAAGTGGAGGATCTCTTTGATCCCTGCTTTTTCCCTTTGTGCTAAGCCCCGTGGGGCTTAGCAAAAGGAGAGGGAAAGGGATCAAACCTATTCCATGATTGCATAATCATTTTGATCCCTTTTCCCCTTATACAGCTACGGGATTGCTTTGATCCTTTCTCCCTCCTTTTGCTAAGCCCCATGTGACTTAGCAAGCAGAGGGGAAAGCAGGGATCAAAGTGATCCTGCAGCACTTTGATCCCTGCTTTCCTTTTGCTAAGGCTTAGCAAGTGGAGGGGAAAGCAGGGATCAAAGCCCTGCAGATCACTTTGATCCCTGCTTTCTCCTCCACTTGTTTTTGTTTTCTCCTCAGCTTACTTCTGTGTATAAGACAACCCTCAATTTTTAGTCTAAAGATTTTAGACAAAAATATAGTCTTATGCACAGAAAAATAGGGCAGTTGTCATTGTTGGTCTAGCCATGTCAAAGCAAACAGAAAACTTTGAAAATGCTATATTTTTTTGATAGATGATGAATGACACTTTCTACATCACCAACAGTGTTCTTCAAGAGCATGAATTAGCTCAGCATCCTTGTCTATACTTACCTCATCTTTCCCATGAAAGAGCCATTCACTTCCATTGCTGAGTCTGCAAAGAACAAGAATTTAAGATACAAGACACCTCTTGTTTTATCTGTCTACCTCTGAGATTTAAAGTATGCTTTTCTAGCCATTAAGTCCACATTTTATATATGGATGTACCAATATATGCTGGTAGTATGTATTAAGAACTACAGAATTATAGAGTTGGAGCATTAAAAAAAATCTCTCCTAGTGCAATCTCCCCTGTTTCAGAAGGAAAATAATCTCCCTTGCCCTGTCAACAAAATTGTTCCTATCTGACAAGCTGGTAGGAGAATGTGCAACGTGTAGAGAACTGACACAAGGGCATCCCAAATAAACATGGGCCTTGAGGAAATTCCCACAAGGAAAGGTTATGTTTGGAGTTGTCTAGCTTAGAAAAAAGGAAGTCAAGGTGGATTATGATGAAGGTATATAAGATTATGGACTGTATGGGGAAAATGGTAGGTAGCTTTTCTCCCTCTTTTGTTATATGTACTAGAACATCAATGAAGCTAAAAGATGGAAAATCCAGGACTTCTTCACACAATACTTAGCTAAGCTCTAAAATTAATTATCACAAGACACAAGGTGGATTTCAATGAAAATAAAAGTGATCAATGGTTACTGGTTATAGTAACTATTATGTTGTCTCCAGGATTCAAGGCAATATGTCTCTAAATACATAGGTTGCTGGAGCACAACAGCAAGCGAGCTTCTGGGGTCACATCCTATTTGTAGGCTTCCCCCACAGGCTTCAGGCTAAGAGAAACAAGATCTTGGCTAGATAGGCTACTGGTCTGATCTCACAGAGCTCTTACATTTGTCACTTCTGTCTAGGTGCATTCTACAAAATGTGACCTCTAATACCTGCTACCCTGAATCATCTATCTGCATACCCCTAATTAACTCATTTCTTGTGAAAAATAAAGTGCACCTATCTTTGGAAAGCATGCCTTGTTATCTCTATATGCGTAGGGACTTGGGCAGAATTAAACCACCAAAATATAAAAATGGTATTGCAGTGGTATTAGACCTTGGCTTGAATCCTCACACACCTATGAAAACTCACTAGGCGGGTGGAACTGATAAAAACCTCTCCTTAAGCATGCTTGCATTACCTCAACTTAAAGACATGTTTTTTCTTCTTGTAATCAGCTGCTACTTCACAGAAGGCATTCTTCAGACGAAAAGGCTCCTCTCCATGGTAAGGCACACCTAGGGCCAAGCTTTTGGCATCCTTATAAAAGGTCAGCTCACTGTTCCTGAGCACACAGTATAACGTATTCCAAGATCTAGATACAAGAAATAACATTTCCTATTAGGGAAAGCTCCACAGATTCAGTCATGCACCCTTAAGCATACTTAATAGGAGCACCATACCATGTAATGCAGTGATCCTCAACCTTGGGCCTCCAGATGTTTTTGGACTTCAGCTCCCAGAAATCCTCGCTAGCAGAGGTGGTGGTGAAGGCTTCTGGGAGCTGTAGTCCATGAACATCTGGAGGTCTGAGGTTGGGGACTACTGATTTAGTGGATAGAATAATAGACACCTTGGTCTGAATCCTCACTCAGCCATGAGAACTCACTAGGGGGATGGAGTTGGTAAAACCTCTCCTTAAATATCTCACCACGAAAGCCCTGTTACAGTCACTGTAAGTCGGTTCCGACTCAATGGCACATATCCTTAGCAAATACAGTAAGGTTCATTTCTTAGCAAACATAAGATGTCCCTGTTCAAGGTGCAGTTTTCTGTGTGGTGTGTTAGGACAACCAATAAACCATCTTAATGAATGACTGTACCTGTTGGAAGCCCGCTTATTAGGTGCCTCTAGATCATGCTTCCGTCCCAGATAACCCTCAAGTTGTACACTGTGAGATCTATCCAGCTGTGCAGGAAGAGTTGCTGTTTCATCTATTTCACTCACAGGGGTCTGGGGCACTCTAAAGACTGATTCCTTCATAGATGTTTCTTCACCACCTACTTTGATCTCTGTCTGTGGCAGATTTTCTGTAGGCAGCTCTTCTGAAATGGTTTCATGGCCTGGCTTCTCATTTTCTTGTACCTGCTGTGAACATGTGAAACTTTAATTCAAAGCAGAATTAATTCAGTATAATATTGGGGGCTTCCATTCCATTCCACTAAACAAATGGATTCTCTATGCAAAAGAGAGTAGTAGACTACAAAAGGACTGTGAACTGAACCACTTCATATGTAAGGCAGGTTTTTAGTGTTCTCTGCAGAAGAAAAACGGTACATTGATGAGAACTATTTAGAGAAGCCCTCTCTTTTGACTGCTAAGATACTGTACTGCCTACAGGGAGCTTGAGTGTCTTCTTTTTTTTAAAGAGCAAAAGCAGCCAAATGAAGGCACTGCAGTCCAGAATCTTACCATCGCAATCTACGATTTGGTGGTTTTTGCTAAAATTATGCTGCTAACAGGGGAGGCAGTATACTCCTGCTCCTTCTTATGGTCTTGTACAAAATGAGAATGAGGGAGAACCAACAGCTTAGTTCCTCCACACACAGTATTACCTCTCTGAGAATCTGAGGTGATGCTGGAGTGGGAAAGAAAATTCAGAAGTGCAACTGGTGCAGAGTATAGCAGATAAAACTCTTGAGAAAGATAAGTGTTTACATCACATTATACTTATTCTGTGTAAGCTACACTGATTGCTTTTGGATTCTTAAGATGCCAACATTCATCCTTAAAGCTCAAAAACAGTTGTGGGAAACATCTCCTCTGAGTGCTACATTACCTACAAGATCACCTGTTACAGACACATACACCACACACCCCTGTACGGGCTATTACATGTAAGGGCTATTTTTATATATTGCCTAAAACTGTGTACCTTAGGGACGTGGTGGCACTGTGGGCTAAACCACAGAAGCCTTTGTATGCTGCAGGGTCAGAAGACCAGCAGTCATAAGATTGAATCCACGCGACGGAGTGAGCTCCCGTCGCTTTGTCCCAGCTCCTCGCCAACCTAGCAGTTTGAAAGCATGTAAATGCGAGTAGATAAATAGGTACCACCTTGGTGGGAAGGAAAACAGTGTTCCGGGTCTAAGTCGCACTGGCCATGTGACAACGGAAACTGTCTTCAGACAAACGCTGGCTCTACGGCTTGGAAACGGGGATGAGCACCGCCCCCTAGAGTCAAACATGACTGACTAAATGTCAAGGGGAACCTTCACCTTTACCTTTAAAACTGTGTATAATTAAGGCTAATCACTCCCTGCTCACAGAGCATTCTACAAGCTGAAGCAACCAACCCCAAAACTCTAGCCCAGGAATGGAAAACCTTTTCAGAATGAAAGGTCTTCATGGTGCCCCCTCCCCAAGTAATCTTTTGAGGTTCGCACTTATCATCTTTGCTATTAAAGATGTGATGCCTCTGTGATGCAGGACAGAGACAGGGCATTAATCTGTGCTGTAGCACATAGTAGTGAATAAGGATGTGAATAGGAAGCAACATCGCACAGAGAAAAAGTAGAATCTCATAAGCAAGAAGAGCTTTCAGAATTAAGTTCTGCTGCTGTATGGGAATTGGCCACATGTGCTACAGCTGCCACACCATTATAGTAGTAATGGAAAGACAACAGAGGGGGCTGCAAATGTGGGCAGCATGTTGCTCACCCCACCTCTAAATTTGCCACTTCATACCTAATCTCATGGTGCTAGAGAATATGAAGTAGTACCTCATATAGTAATTAAAGTATGCAGAGAGGAATGTATGGAATAAGGGACACCATACTATGTTCTTTCTCCTTTAAAAAAAGAATCAGTGTGGGATAGAGATACCGTAATCCTAAGATCACCAAAATTCCATGAACACACACTCTATAACTCACTCACTTCATCAGATTTATTGTGTGTGATGTCTGTTTCTGAATGGCTTCCAGGGCCCCTTCTCAGCCCTATTTGTTCTCACACTCATTTATGGACACAACTAGATTGATATGGAAGTGCTGAGGCCTTCCTGCTTGGACATAGAGGAAACAAAAGAGTGCAGCCACCAGAGATCCTACTGAGCTCAAGATCCTCTTGATCTTAAATGGTTTCTGATCAGGACTTCCCCTGTGAATATCAGTCTGCATAAAACTTGGGATAAAATAATAATAATAATCTTGGACGTGTAGAGTTGGAAGGATAATTAAGGATCACTGTACCTCCTGTGAAGGAGGTACAGTGGGGAACTGAACACTCAACTAGATACATAAGCCACTGAGCTATCCAGCAGCATTTGAAGCTGTGCTTTGTAGTTCAAGGGCAAAAGACAAGTGAGAAGCAAGGGCTGAGCCTCTTCTGTTTCAGCTCCGGATATTTGGAATACCATGGAAATGTGCCTGGTTTCTTTTACTTTGGGAGGCAGTTGAAGACGTTGTTAGTAGAGACAGGGTTATTCATATACAAATACCTCCACAGGTGGAAATAATGAGGATCTGGCCCTATGGGGCAATGGATTAGCCACTCTGCGACCTGGCAGAGAGGCTTGTCATCCCACTTGCTGCCAGGAGTGGCTAATCCATTGTGGATAACGGTGTGATAGGAAGGCTCCGCCAAGCTTGTGTCAGGGGCGAAATGCCCCATGGGGCCAGACCCTCATTATTTCCACCTGTGGGGGGATATTCGTATACGAATACTCCCATCTCTAGTTGTTAGTCTGTGGAACTCCTTGCCACAGGATGTGGTGATGACATCTGGCCTAGATGCCTTTAAAAGGGGATTGGACAGATTCCTGGAGGAAAAGTCCATCGCAGGTACAAGCCATGATGGGGATATATAATCTCCAGTCTTAAAAGGAAGGTACTTCACAATGCCAGATGCAGGGGAGGGGTATCAGGAGACAGCTATCTAGTTGTCTCGTGTGCTCCCCGGGGCATCTGGTGGGGCCACTGTGAGATATAGGAAGCTGGATTAGGCGGGCCCTTGACCTGATCCAGTAGGGCTCTTTCTTATGTTCTTAAGATGTAATTTTATAATGGTAGATATCCTGGAAGGCAGTTTCAAATTTAACAAATCAAATCCAAGCATTTATTTAATTTTTAAAAAGCGCCAGCATATCAAAAGTTATCATAGCAGAGAGAATGTTCATTTAGAGTCTTTCTATCACACGTTCAGTTCTCATGTGCAAGTTGTTTAGCATGAAGGAAGATTCAACTGCATGATTACTTCATCTGTATTGTTATAAGCAATATAATTCCATGTAGGCTATACAACATCAGCATCACCAGTGGAACATGAAAATTAGCTGGCAATTCCAGGGTTCCGTATAGCTCTTCTGTTTCTTATTTTCAGATAGATAAAGAAATTCCATTATGTAATGGTCCACATGACCAATGAACTGGCATTGAAACATCAGACCATACTGTATGCACAACCATCTTTCTGAATTTGTGATGACATCATTTCTGGTGTATCCCATTGAAAAAAAATGCCATCTGTCATCTGTGATAGCTCCTAAGTGGATTTTAGATATAGGGAAGCACTCACATGTGATCACTCATTTGCAGTCTCATTTTGCACAGTCCAGGAATGCTGTGCTACTTGGTATTTCTGATAAAATAATTAAGTCATCAGAAAGAAACTGTGACAAAGTGATATGTATGAGAGGATCTGGTTTGTTCTAATGGGCCAACTGCTACATTAGAAGAACGGAGAGAAATAGTGTACAGTATATTGGTAGGGCCATATAGAGCTAGTGCTATTATGCACTGGGTTTTTGTGATTTATGTATTTGTGTGTTATATTACTGCAGTTCACTTGGTCAAAAGAAGCAAAGGGAATTCAGATATATAATCTGTGATGACTGCTACTGAGAACACAGTTGTAAAGCTTTAGTATGTAAAACTCTTGCTGGAACATAAGTGTTCAGGATAGGCCTAAGCTTTAGAAAGAAACTCACTGGGAATTTGTTCAGCTAAGTTCAGCCCATAAGTAGTCAGTCCAAGCAGAACATTATGGTCTATGTATGACTAAAGAGATGTGGATATTGGTGATGCACATCACTCCCATATCATTTTGGTAACAGACGGGATCTAATTTGTGTGATTATCCTCTCAGAACTAGAGCTTGGGGAATCCCCTCGTTCACCTATATGTCCTAAAATCTGCTTTGGAATGCTGAATTACTCTCTGGAATCAGGCTGAAGGTGGCACACAAATAAATATTGACAGTGCAATCTAAAGCACCTGTATTCAAAAGTAGGTCTCATTAGATTTAATGAGACTTGCACTCAGGTAAATGTGCAGGAGATTTCAAAACAGTACTAAAACACCTGTTATTTTTCTATGATGTGGATTGTATAGTTTAGCTGTAATCCAGCATGTATTCGGCATTCCGCCAGCCACACTGCATAGCACAGGGTTGGTTTGTTTTTTGGATGATTCTGCATTGGAATCATAAATGTATTTTATTTATTTATTTATTTATATTTTAGCTGTAATCCAGCATGTATTCGGCATTCCGCCAGCCACACTGCATAGCACAGGGTTGGTTTGTTTTTTGGATGATTCTGCATTGGAATCATGAATGTATTTTATTTATTTATTTATTTATTTATTTTATACCCCGCCTATCTAGTCGGTTGACCACTCTAGGCGGCTCACAACAGAGGGGACAACAATAATAAAAACCATTTTACAAAGAGAGAACTTTCAACAATTGGATAAAACACGAAGGGAGAAAAGGAAAGAGGAGAGAAGGCCCGATTTCTTGTCTTTTCTTTCCGGGCCTCCCTCGGCATTAGGCTCCTCAGCCTCACCTCCTGGCTCGTGCGAGTGACACGGGTAGATCGTGGTGGTAGAAGGCGTTCCGCCAAATATTGACGCCCTAAACCGTTTATTTATTTATTTATTTATTGGACTTATATACCACCCCATAGCACTACAAGCACTCTCCGGGCGGTTTACAATTTTTAATTATACAGGCTACACATTGCCCCCCCAGCAAGCTGGGTACTCATTTTACCGACCTCGGAAGGATGGAAGGCTGAGTCAACCTTGAGCCGGCTTTATACGTAAGCATCCCCAGGTCGTGAGCACAGTTTTAGCTGCAGTACAGCG